TGTGTGTGTGTGTGTGTGTGTGTGTGTGTGTGTGTGTGTGTGTGTGTGTGTGTGTGTGTGTGTGTGTGTGTGTGTGTGTGTGTGTGTGTGCGTGTGAGTTGGGGAGGGGGCTGCATTTGTTTGTTGAGCAAACCGTGGGAACAGGGAGCTCTCCAGGGTGGCGAGTCAGGGCCTCCAACAATACATTTCACCCAAACACTCTCCCTTCCCAGGAGAATTATTACTCTCTCCTTTTTTCCCTCCTTTTTCTGTGACTTTCCCTCCTTCACTTGCATTTGCTGTACAGTGAGATTCCCCCCCCCCCCCCCCCACACACACACACACGCACACACACCACCTCCTCGCAATGTTAAATTTTGAGTTTTTGTCACATATCTAAAAACTCTTGTCAATAATCAGTGTGAATAAATGATAAATCTTTTTTATACACATATCTCATTCTGAAGTTGCATCTCTTCTAAAAAAGAAATCCTTGTTTGCAATTTGTCGTGTAATTTGCATTTACATTTAAACATATTCTCTTTCTTCGTCCATAAAATCTTTTCAGATTTACTGAAGCTGGTTGTGGTGTTCCACAAAGCTCTGTACTTGGTTCTGTTCTACTATTCTATTATTCTATTATCTATTCTTTTCCACCAATTATCCAGTTAGTTGTTAGTTGTGAAGCTAGACGTTCTAGGAGGGAATCCTCCTCAATCACACTTTCCACCTCCCCCTGGGAAAACCCAAGGCGTTCCCAAGCCAAAGAGACTCTGTGATCCCTTCGGTAAAGTCTGAGTCTACCTGCATTTTGGCCCAGGGGAACATTTCTGGAAAATCTGTAGAGGAAGGTAACCAGTAGGCCTCCTGGCTGACGATGAATAATCATTAAAATGAATCTTACACACAAAACCCTTCAAAATTTGCACCATCCTAAAAATTAGCCCTGATAATCTCCACCACCACCCCCACAAGATAACACCCCTCCAGTGATGCTTGTCGAATCTCCAGACTGGAAATAAGAGTTGTTAGATTTCAGACTCCCAAAGAATCATTCATTTTAAAGCCTATTTTAATACAGAACCAGTGAGTTTTATATTCTGTTTTTTATCTCATTCCATCCTGTTTGTATTTATTCTAATTTTTACTAAATGGATAACAGCAACGTGACTCTACCACTGCCTCCGTTTGCTTTGCAATGTTGATGTTTTATCACGCCTGAAGGACTTCTGCTGTGTGGTGGAATTGCTAATGCTAATGGCAGGGGCGTGTCCAGGGAGTGGCCTAAGCTAATCAGGATGAAACCACCTGATACAACTTCAACAGCAAATTTCATAACAGTTCAAACAAACAGTAAAACATAAATATTTATATATGTTTACACATATTATCTGTGTGTAAATTAAACAATCAGGTTTAATGAATGATTCTTACTTTGTAGTGATGATGAATGTCTTTAAAATCCTATTAACTATGTTTTCTTTATTTACTTAGCTTTTAATGTTCATAACTAAACCATTAATTGCTTGAAGACATCAGGATGGAAGGAGGATCGGTTGCACCAAAAAACCATTTAAGCACAAGCAGGCATGATTTTATTTGATATTTGATTTGAGTTATTATGAATTAATTAATCGGTAATGAGACAAGTGATCCTAATTAACCAATTAATTTCCTCCAGATCCCTCACACACTATTTAACCAGCTCTGATCTCAGCTTCCTTCAGTCCAAATAGGGAACCAGTGGCCTTTGTGCCCAATTCAAAGTCCTCCTGAAGCCATGAATAGTTTATTTATCAGGTTTTCCCCTCACTGGTGCTCCTTGAGAGGTCGACCCCCCCCCCCCCCCCCCCCCCCCACACACACACACACACACACACTCTTCCCATTTGACCCCTGTTAATGAACTCTTGCAGTGCATATAAGTAGTGATTAGTCTTTGGTGAAGGCTCAGGTCAGAGAATTCCAACGATGGAGATCGAAATCAAGTTCTATCGGTTGTTTCTTATGTAAAAAATGTTTTGAAACAATCTGAGAAGAATGTTTTGAACCTACAAGTTTCCAGTAGAGTGTAGCTAAATTATTTGATGCCAAGTTTAAATAACCCTCTGGAGGCAGGGGTTAAACCAGAAGGGTGACTGACGTCTTCCTAAGTGGTCCAGACTTGTGGGGACACCGTGGGAGTAAGTTTTTTCTTTCATCGTAAATCCGATAAGAAAAATGTGATATAATTATCAGGACAGAATATAGCAACCAACCAGGATCTCCGCAGCTTCCTCCTCCAATTGAAGCCCCCCCATTGTTCCAACATCAGGCCAATTTGTCCCTCCAGCCCACTCCCGCCTCCTGCAGAGTTATTTAGCCCCTTTTCTGCACTTCAGTGGAGGATATAAGAAAACTATCACAGCTTCTTTGCTAGTCCTCAAAAAATGAGAGAGAGAGAGAAAAAAAAGAAAGACCCCCCCCCCCACCCCCCCAGTACCCTTTAATCTGATTACAGGCGTTCTGCAGCTTTTCAGAGCAGGCTGGTCCCACGAGGACAATAGGTTTCACAAACACCCTCCCCAGGGTCTTGTGCTTCACAAGCAGAGGTACGTTTACTCTCCTCTGACATCAAGTCCATGGAGGGTCTTTGATTTCACTGAAACTTCTCTGTTCTTCACCCGCTGCCCTGAAGACGGTTTGTGCAGCTTGACCCCATATTTGCATCTCAGACATTTTATTTTTGGTCAGAATCAAAATAATCTGATGTAGATCGGATGTTTTACTTTGCTATTTAACGTTTTGTTAATTTGCTTTGTCATTAATCTTTGTTTAAGTACATTAAAATAACTTAATTTAACTGACAGCCTGTTTTTTTTTTACATGCAACACATTTTAATTGAACGTTTTTGAATCAGCCTTTTAAAAACTCCTTGAGATGGTTACATTTGTTTAAATATTAATAATTTAATTAAATTACCAGATTTTATTTTACCTGGTTCTTGATGCTCGGTGATATTACACATAAAGCTCTAATATTATTTTGATGCATAAATTGCCAAAGTTTCCTCCAAACTCTTTAGTTAGAATATCTCCATCATCCTGAGGAGACACCAGCATCATTGCTGAAGCGTATGCCCGGTCAGTGTGTTAATGTCACAGCGACTGGTCAGGAGACGATCCTATTGACTGACCTGTCCAGGCATCATTACCATCAGAATGAAGACTAAACGGACCCAAGAGGCCTCAGGGCAATAAGTGTGTTCACAATGACCTCAGGGAGCCGCCTTAACAAGCTTCTTCTCTCCAGACTGACGACTAAAACGAGAAAAGGGAGGGATAGCCCTGTCCTGCAGTCAGCTTTAACAACAGGGGGCATGTCAGGATTAATTAGATTTGTTAGAAAATCTATTTAAAACCATAAAATTTTTAAGTATTAATAGGAAAATCAGCTCAATTTTTACTGTTGTTTCTCAAATGAAAAAAAAAACATGAATGTAAATTTTGTTAAAAGAAATTCATATTTGTAACAAAACTCCTAATTTTTTAAATTTTATTTGAACATCATAAATCATTTTATATGTGCAACAAGGTAAATGAATTCATTTATTCTGTTTAAAACGCATCAGCTTCTAAATGCACCTGTTAGTGATTCAGAATTTTTAAAAGTTATAATTTATTTTTTGATTTCTCCATTATTGTCAGAACATAAACAATCTACTAAAATAATGTAACAGCTTACAATTTCAACCACACTGTTTACTCTCTATTCTCTTGTTTTCTCTTGAATACTGCTTGCCTGCTATCCTTCTGGCCTCTAAAATGATACGTCGCTTTAATTTAATTTAATTTTATTTTATTTTATTTTATTTTATTTTATTTTATTTTATTTTATCAACACATTTCTAAAGTTCTTGAGACACGATAATCTCTAGTGAATCCTCAGAAGACAGATGTGAAATTCACACCCCCCAAAATAATTTCCCATGTGTAAAATTCAAAATAACTTAAAAGGTCTACAGTTCAAAAACATAGTGCTTAAAAAAGATAATTAATCTTGAGCAGAGATGCAGAAAACTACCAGGGACATATTCAGATGTATTACCTTACAGCTTCATCCACAGAAAATTAAAACATTTTTGAGCCGTGGTCTTGTGCATCCCAACTTCTTTCATCACATCACATGACATCAGCATATTTACATATTGAGTTAACTTGTATCTGCAGAAAAAATGTGCCAAAAATTAAAAGTTCCCAAACATTTAAGCACATTTATCGGTGATGCTACAGTTGGTACTATTTGTCAAAAAGGAACAAAATTTTTTTAAAAAGCATGAACTAATAAATCTTGTCTCCCACATTTATTTATATTTTCATTCCAGTTAATGTTATTAAAGTGTTTTTATAATCGCCACTAATATTTCAGTATGCCAAGGATATTACTGTACATTTATGTTCATGCAAAAGCAATAACAGCCAGAATGTTGACTATAAACCAACTGTACGCGAGGAGACTGAGATGATGGAGCTCTCTTGCAAGAGCTGCAGGGATTTCTTTACTTTTTTTTTTTTTTTGAGGGATTTCTTTTTTTATGGCAGAAAATTTCTATCAAATAAACAAGATTTCCAGTTACATTGCACTCATTAATAATATGTGTTTGAGGCTGTTTCAAGTAACTAATGTTTGTTGTTTTATTCTTAAAGTGACGGTGAATATTTTTCCTGGTGATAGGGGACAGTAGATACCTAAATTGTTGCAAGCAAGCAGTATTTTTGTGTTGGAGTAAGACCTTGAAATGGATGCCCATTAGGGTCAAAAATCCCCAGGGATTGCAAACTTCAGCAAGCACATCAGACTCCCTTTCATCACTGGCAACAAGTGAAGAGGTAAATGTGTAAAACAGCAATGTTTATGAATGGTGAAAGTTTTGTAATCATTTGTTAGAAGTCAGTAAATGCATTTTGTCCTCAAAGGCTTCCGTAGAAGGAAACATGGCGTCTAATATGGCGTCGCCCAGAGACTCAGACCCGCTCCCACATATTTAGAACAGATTTTTATAGTTATATGTTGAGAAGCCACCAATATTTTTCAACAACTGGGCATCATTTAATTCATTTTCAGTAACATTTTGATGGATATTTCTGGACATTAACAATAAAAACTACACATTGTCCCTTTAAAAACAATCAAATATCCTAACAGATGATTATTTATTTTAAAATGTGAGGTTTCTTTTCTCTGAAGCAACATTAAACCCATCATAAGGCAGAAGACCGTGTCATAGTCGCTTAAATGCTCTAAAATAAGAATCTGGCAACAAATCAAAGGGAGTGTGGGGGGGAGGGGCTCATGTCGCATATAGATGGCAAAATATTCAAAAAAAGACTTTAATCATATGTTTCTCTACACAACAAAACACATTTCATTTAAATAAAAGGACAAGCTACTCTGATTGATACCTTTAATACATTACAGGAGTGAATACAAAGCATATGTAGCTTGTTAAGTGCTTATAAAATAGGAGTTACTCCTACTGATTATTCTTTAAATTACAATAAAAGTACAAATTCTAAAGCATCAAAAATCTGCTTATAAAACATGAACACATCGTGTCTGATTTCATATCACACAGGCTGAATTCAGAACTGGGCAATATTTAAACACATTAAGCAGCTTTTGATCATTTTACACAACCTTTAGTTCATCTTGATCTTCAGCATCTCTGTAACTTCATGTTTTCCAATAGTTAGAAGCTGTAAAAGGTGTTGATGGAATAAAAACAAGTAAAACAAGATATTATCTCTTCAAACTGCTCTTTTCTAAGCCTCCTCTGTTACTTCATGTTGCCCAGTGGCCTCGTCAAACTCAAAACTAAATGAGGTGGGGTCTGGTTCTTCTGGGTGTCTCTAGCATTCCTCCATGGAGAAGTTTGACTCGGCTCTGTTAACAGACAGAGAGAACGGTCATTACAGGTGTGTTTAAAGCAGGATAAAACTGATGTTCCAGCCTAGATGAGCGTACATGTCTTGGTGCTTTTGTATCATGTGGTTGTTGTACTCCAAAACTGGAGCAATGGTCTCCTCCTCTTCTTCAGGGAGCTATCAAGCAGATGAAGAGTTTGTTAAACGAGTTAGAGAGCAAGAGGGACATCTAGTGGTCGAAAACACGCTCTCACCTCCCAGTAAGCTTCATCATCAAAGCAGTTGTCATCAGCAGGATCGCCCCAGATGGGCAACTTCAGGATGAGACCTTCAAAAACATAACAAGGAAGAATTTTGTTTAAAAAATGCTTTAAAGACTTTGCAATAATTTCCAAAAAGTCTAATAACTCTGTAGAGTTGGTGTAAGTTCTCCTGCAAGTCATTAACTACTGACTCAGATTCTCAAGTTTATCCCCGGTGATGTTTTAGTTCAAGCATTTGAAGTACTTAAAATACGTCAAAAATCACAAACAATAATTGTTGCAGAGACTGATCCGATCGACAGTCATGCTCACCGACAATCGCTCCTCCAATTAGTCCAAAAGCCATTGCCACACAGGTACCAGCTGCTTGATAGCCCCCCTGCGTCGACATGGTCCTGCTTGCATACTCGCCCGTAAGATCGAATGTGTTGATCAGCCTAAACGGGAACAATAAATCATTTATCAGTCTGAACGGCATGCAAGAGAGTAAATATGCACTTTTTTCACGAGTTAAGTACAATTTATTGCTGATATTTGTGATTCTCAGCAAACTTCACTCACCCCTGGTGGCTGTAGACTGAATCAGATGCAAATGCAGCGACGATGGCGGCGATAAAGCCTCCGAGCATCCCTGGCACGGCGTGCAGGTTGTGAACACCACACGTATCCTGCAGCTTCAGAGATTTTGCTAAAAAGGGCTGAGAAGCAGGTATTCGAGTTAAGATCAAAGTTTTGTGGTTATTTACTTCTTCAGACACTTCTTCGCATGGCTGGAAAACTGGCACAGATTTCTGTCTGACTTCTCTTAAGTTTTACTTTGAAACATATTTTTAACTTGCGCTCCATCTGCAGGAGCAGTAACGAAAGCAGACTTACTGTGACAATCACGTAGCCAAAGGTGGAGATGATGCCCATGAAGAAACCCACGATGAGTGCACCGTAAGGAGAGATCATGAACTCTGCTGATGTTCCCATGGCAACACCACCTGCCAGAGTGGCATTCTGGATATGTACCTGTCAGGGTTTTTTTTAAAGAAGTGTTAGACATGAGAAATGTTCGGATGTCATCCGGTTCTTTGGATCACTCAGGCATTTGACTGACTGAATCTGTGTTGTTTTATTCACCATGTCCAGTTTTCCCTTGCTGTGAAACATGCTGGAGATGGCCACAGCAGTGACAACAGAGGCGGCGAGGGCGATGTAGGTGTTGATGACCGCTCTGTGCTGACCGTCACCGTGGTTAGTGATGGCTGAGTTGAAACTGGGCCAGAACATCCACAGGAACAGCGTGCCTGTTTGAAGATATCAAATGGTGAGAAGAGGCTCAAAAGGTCTTGAACTTCCTGAATAGATTAGAAACATTCTCACCAATCATTGCAAACACATCTGAGTGGTAGACGGACCCCTCGTTGTGTTTACTTTGGTGTAAGTTTGGTCGGTAGAGCACCCAGGAGATGGCCAAACCATAATAACCTCCAAAGCAGTGAATGACCATGGAGCCACCAGCGTCTCTGCACTGTGGGTGCAATGTGTCAGTGATGTTTGCAGCGTGAAAACCTTTTTGTGATGTGATTGGTTGGGACTCACATGGAGGAGGTTAAGAATGATATATTCTTCCACAGCATACAGGGTGATTCCAAACAGTGTGACAACCATCAGCTGGACCGGACTCACTTTACCCAGGAGGGCCCCGTAGGCGATCAGGCAGCCAGCCACGCAGAAGTCTGCATTAATGAGGCTGTTTGGAACAAGGAACAGGAAAATATGCTCGTAAAAGATCATCTGCCTCGATTACTGAAAGAATGTGCTTTCATTTTTGGAGTTGCACTGCGCTGTTCATGTGTGTAGATGCTTACTTCTCAATCCCGATGTAGATTTTTCCAGTGTCTTGATCGAGGGAATGGAACCAGCCTTGCATGAGAAGAGCCCATTGCAGACCGAAAGCAGCGATCAGGAAGTTGAAGCCCACCCCGCCAAAGCTGTAGCGTTTCAGAAAGGTCATGAGGAAACCAAATCCAACAAAGATCATGACATGGACATCCTGGAAACCTGAAGGAGAGAAAAACCCAAAGATTAGGTGATGACATTTTTAATTCAAGTTGCATTTTTATTTGATTTTAAATAGTAATTTATTCATTTTTGGGATTAATAATAAGATTGTCGCTCAATTTCAGGCTTCCAGGACACCACCTGTAAGTTTACAAATGTTTACTTGTTCATTTTTTCATTTAAAAAAACAAGGAAAAAAGACATTTTCCTGAATTTTCCCTTGCAGCTTTGTTATTTTATGTGCTAATTTTTATTATTACGTGACAAAAAGAGAGTGAATAATGAAAATAGCCACAATGTGATAACATTCAAATGGTTGTATTCGTGTCTCTTTGCATCTGAGGGAAAATGTTGAAACAAAAACAACAAAAAATGTCTAAAATGTAACATCATTTAAAAAATAAGCTAGACTTCCTGTTGTACTTACTGGGATACCTGAAGTAGAAATCATTGTCAATGTCAGTGAGGTTGTGTTGCTGCTTGTGCTCGACCCAGTGGGCATCTGCCTCTTCGTTGTAGCGGATGAAAATCCCAAACAGGAGGACCATGGCGATCTGCCAGACGAAGCAGACGGCCGGCAGGCTGATGCGGATGTAGGTGTTCTTCTGTGGGCCCATGCTTTCACAACAGTTCCCCATGATGGCGACTTTCTGCTGATGGTCCGATCGCTTCTCGTCTGTGACATCCAGCTGTCTGTCAGCATCTTTATAAGCACACTCGTAGTTTAGGGGTGTGACCTTTTCCACCACTCACAGGCTAGGTGTGGATGTGGGAGGTAAACCACTCCTTACCTTGTATTCATGGACAAGTTGTATTGGTTCTACAGGAGGTTGCAGGAGGTAATTTTTTTTAAGAAAATTATTGCATGTGACTAAAAGTGTCCAGATGTTTGATTCAATCTCATTTTATTCACTTCAAATGTTTAAAATTATCCAGAAAAGTTTAAAAAGAGGCTTTGGTTGGTCTGTTTTGAAATTTGTTGCTGCAGCTGAGATGATGAGAAGCATCAGATTTGTTTTCTGTGAAGGCAGTAAACAGGTCTCTGGTGACCAAGAGTGTCAGTCAGGATTGTGCACAAATCACTGAGTTTGAGTGAATGAGTTTTGATGTTTGTTTTATTCTGTTTTTCTGTTGAAGCATTGTTCATTTTACTGTAACTATTGTATTGCCGTACATTACGGCAAACCACATTTCCCTCTGAGACAATAAAAGATGAGTTGCGTGGACAGAGATGCTGACATCACAGAGACTTTTCTTTAGTTTCCAACGGATCCAAAAACTGAAAACTCCCATTTCTTTGTAACTTCCCCCCAGACAGTCAGATTTTCTTTGCATCTTTTAAATTAGTCTTGATCCATTACTTCTTTGAAATGTTACAGCTTTTTCAAATTTATGTCCTGTGACACTCCCTCCTTTAGATTAGTTCATCCTACCGTAATTTTACTTAAGATTTATATTTTCTGTGCAGCCGTTGGGAGAAAATAAATAAAAAAGTAATCGTTTAAAAGTTGAAAATAAAAATAAATGGTGGGAATACATTTGTGCAAATATTATGATCAGGAAATCATCCAGGAGAAAAAGACCCAGTGAACCCTAACCCTAAAACATCAGGAATCTTTCAGGCAGATGAAGCTTTATTCAAATGCTTTTCCTGTAAATTTTGCAAATATTACCGTTAAAAAGTGGAGATTTTCATAATCCTTGTAAAACAGGATTTTAATCCCAAACACACCCTAAAGGATCCACACATCAAAAACCTTGACAGCGCCTTAAGTTAACAAGTAAAAACAAAGTAAAAAAATCTATGAATTTGATTTTTAAATTTAGTTTAAGTTTAATTTAAATATTTGACTCATCTCTGCAAGAAAAACTAAGTCTACTGTACTTACCTATAGATTTTTTAAATTTTCATTCATTTTTTTTTTTGCTTTTGTTCCAAATCTTGAAGATAATCTAAGAAAAAGAGATTCCAGTTTAAGAATTTATCCTATCTCCGCTACGGCTCACTGAGTGACACCAAGAACATTCCAGGTGATGCAGGCAATATCTGCTTTCCTGCTTCTGCATATTGACTTCACTCTGACGTTGTACAATGTGCTCAGATTTAACGGGGATTACAGAGTGTGCTTAAGAGCTATATGACTCATGAACAATGTAATGTTTACATCAACTGACTTTTATTTTGAAGGGCTGAGTCTTTTGAGGAATTTAAAGACAGACTGAATTGCTTTGTGTTGCCAGCACACACCCTGTGTCTGATTTCTCTGGTTATTTCATAATCTTGTTGTCTTTATTAATTATTGTTTTGAGAAAAGGGATAAAACCAGAATTTGAAAACAAAATCAGTTCATTTTCTTTCTCAGTTTGCAGAATTTCAGACATTTAAGACTGAATCTTGTTTATTTTTGTATCCCCAGGGAAAAAAATAACCACTAGCAAAGTCACTTTTTTCTGTTTATTTCTGTGCTAAATGTCAATTTAATAATTTCTCTATTAATAGTAAGCTTATTCTCACATTAAATGCCACATTAAGCTGGGGTTTGCTCTTCTCAGATGATGGACAGAGATATGCTGAAGCTGCAGATACACAAAGTTCTCAAAACAACTTGTCTCGAAACGAAGGAGGAATGCAAATGAGTCACTAGGAGGCGTTTAAAGCTCTATCAGAAGTAGGAAAAACACCCTGAAGCTTTAAGGAACCTCACTGTCGCACATAAACAGGCAAGCTTTTATTCAAGTTCAGGAAAATCATCTGATCTCAAAATGTTAAAGTAGAAAAACAAAAATAAAAATTATTAATCCTTTTTCAATGCAGAGTGTAAATAGAACCATTCAACTTATTTTGTTTTTGTTTCTGTATGTTTTATGAAAACAAACCAAAAGAAAGCAAAGTGCAAAAGTTTAAGCATCCAGGAGATTTTCACTCTAAAAAACTTTGATCTTACAGTAATCAATTTTTTAGGCTTACGGGGTTTTGTTTCAGCCATTGTTGCAACAGCTGATGCAATTAACAGCTCCCATGAGCAGCTGGTGGAGGTTACAGGAGGACGTCAAACGTGTTCTCGGTGTGTGATGTAATCAAGAAACATCAATTGCCTCGGTCTTGGTCTTGGCCTTGAGTGGAAGAAAACTATAGTCTCTGAAAGGAAGGATGGAAATTCATACCAAGGACTTTTAAAAAAAACTGATGTTTCTTATTTCAGTTATACACCGCCCGGCCAGAAAAAAGCCACCGCTAAAGAAAAAGTTCACAGACTCTAATATTTAGTTGGACCGCCTTTAGCTTTGATTACAGCACACTGTGGCATAGTTTTGATAAGCTTCTGCAATGTCACCAGATTCATTTCCATCCAGTGTTGCACCAAGATCTTCCATTGATGATGGTAGAGTCTGACCGCTGCACAAAGCCTTCTCCAGCACATCCCAAAGATTCTCAATGGGGTTAAGGTCTGGACTCTGTGGTGACCATGTGTGAAAATGATGTCACATGCTCCCTGAACCACCCTTTCACAATTTGAGCCCAATAAATTCTGCCATTGTCATCTTGGAATATGCTCGTGTCATCAGGGAAGAACAAATTCATTGATGGAAAAACCTGGTCATTCAATATATCCATTTATATGGTGGGGGAGGTTGCCGGTTAGACCAAACAGGCCCAAACGTATTGCGATGGTCTGCTGGGAACATCTGGCAGAGTCTCCTGTCAGAAGGAGCTTGACTAATTTTAATTTTGACTAAATTAATTTAAATAAAATGTATTTTATTTACTCAAACAGGTATATCTAGATATATCGATAATTTCTGTAGTATCTCGGGTGCTCTTCATGATCATAAAAACTTCTAAAGTAGATATGGAAGAAAAAAGTCATGATCTGAGGCACTCCGACAAATAATTTATCATAATACAAGCTGACGCGTTTCGGTTGTGTGCGACCTTCTCCAGGGCATTCCATGATGCCCTGGAGAAGTGATCGGAGCGCTTCAGATCATGACTTTTATTCTTTCATTTTTATTTTATTTATCTTTAATTTATTGACAATTCTGCGCTGCACAATGTAACAGTGGTTAGCGCTGTTGTCTTGCATCAAGGAGGTCCTGGGTTCAATTCCCAACCCGGGGTATTTCTGCATGGAGGTTGCATGTTCTTCCTGTGCATGCATGGGTTCCTTCCAGGTACTCCGGCTTCCTCACACAGTCCAAAAACATGACTGTCAGGTTGATTGGTTTCTCTAAATTGTGCTTAGGTGAGTGCTTAGGTGTGTGTGTGTGTGTGTGCTTAGGTGTGTGTGTGTGTGTGTGTGTGTGTGTGTGTGTGTGTGTGTGTGTGTGTGTGTGTGTGTGTGTGTGTGTGTGTGTGTGTGTGTGTGTGTGTGTGTGTGTGTGTCTCTGTCTTGCCCTGTGATGGACTGGCAACCTGTCCAGGGTGTATCCCGCTTACTTGCCCAGAGATTGCTGGGATAGGCACCAGCCCCCCGTGACCCTGCATGGACAAGCGGGTGTGGACAATGGATGGATGACAATCTTGCATACTTAGTTTTTTTTTGCATCTTTTTTGTGTCCTTCAGTCTTACAGAAGCCTTTCATTGAATCAGTTGAGTTGGAGCAGAGTTGGAGCAGAGGAACATTGCATAGTTGGGACATCTGACCTATAGAAAATAAGAGTTTCTTCACACATTCAGGATGCAGCTGAATGAGCTAACAGACAACATGCAAGAATGATGCTGCTGTCTAAGTGAATGGGGGGGTGGGGGTCCTCCAGCTTGATAATTTGACACCATCTAGGCTGCAGAAGCTCAGTGTTGCATCACAGTTTCTGCAGGTGACAGAAGTGTCTGTAGGAAGAACACACATCCTGCGTCCATCCTAGTGGGGAAATTCAAGATTTACCCACAAGCTGGACATGCTGAGGAGTAGAAGCATTCTCACTTGTTCAGGTCTTCCTGTCAGTGCTTCATCATTCCAGACCTACAGACAGAGCAGATGTAATAAATTACGCAGTAAATATCTACCTGTCAACTTAAATTCTGTACATTTTCTAAATGCTGCAAATAATGACCAAACTGTTTTGACATTTAACTTTTTTTTTGCACGACATCTGGAGCCAACAGTTGCGTTGAAAAAACGTTTCAAAATGACTAAAGAATGATAAAATGTTACCCTGAAACACTGCGGTGATTAAACATGTGACAGAAAAGCGCTGTGGAGGTTTCAGATCGTATCTGATGAAGGCGTCTCAAAAATGTAACTGTCACATGGTGTGGCACACGGCGCTGGAATGAGCAAGGAAGAGATATGAGGCTCTGCTGTCAGTCTCAGAGTAAACGAAGCGCAGATCAATTCACAGCAGCTATTTAAACAAAGGGAACTTCTTAAAGTCTTTCTTTTTCTTTGTTTAGTATTGTTACATAAACTGTAAGCTGTCCTCTGACTGGCGTCAAGAGCTGAATGTACGGGAGAAATGAAATGAGGACAGAAATCAGATGCACCTGTAGGTAAACTCACTTTTACGAACTACTTTTTGCATCATCTGTGCAACTTCTAACATTGCTCAAAACTCTTCCAAACAAGACCTTTATTTTGAAGGTGTCACATAAAAACAAATAGGCATAAGATTAGTTCTTTCAAAAATCCCAATCATTAACAAGATAATCCTGTAACACAAAACCAACCTTTGCAGCATGCTTTTGTATTAATAGCTCTGTAAGAATAATCATGATGGTTACAGTAAAGAAAGGCTGCCTGCTCTATGATCTGATGTGTCTCTTTCAGCCTGCAGAGTGCGACTAACACCTCAGGAATTTCCTCGAACTCTGCGGGCACATCCAGAAAGCTAGATGTCACAGAGATAGGAGGAGCGTGTCAGGCGATCGGTGGCTTCTTGCGGATGGAAATCTACTGTACACTGCTGAGGATTATGTGACTTTTAGATAATTGAGGAGGTGACTTTATCAGTCAGCATCTTTGAAGCTCACATGGCGCATCGTGCAACGTCAGCCTCGCACACGACAGCCGCACAGCCTCACATGCCTCAAGCAGACATGCAGGTGACCCTGGGAGACAATAGCATGACCACATTACTTATGCAATAGCAACCAGATTTATCTTTTCTATTGCTTTAAGTAAATAAACTATGTACTTTCAACTTGTTTTGTAAATTTAGTAAATTAACACTTAAAAACACCACATTTCTTTAATATTTTTGTTTGGTTTTAAAATAAACCAAATTTTATTTGAAACATTTATTGAGGTAGTTAAAATAGTTGCACATCAGAGGTCTAGACATCTTTTTTTAATGTCTATTGCATCATTTCACTTTTCTAGACCTGCATGATTTAATTTCAATCATGTATTCAGTATTTTTAGAAAAGTGCAGAGTCAAACGTATTCATCACCATGAGTTGCATTAACTCTCCGACTCCCAGTAACATATCTTGGTGGTATTCACAGGTTTCTGCTTTATTCTTGCTCAGATTAAAACAATGAGCTTCAACAATAACACTTTGCACCAGTTTCTGCACATCTCTTGATCTGCATTGGGCAAAAAGGTTTTTGGCAGCCACCGATTCTGCAAGTTGACCCACTTGAAGGTGTGGAACACTGAATAAACATTTTTTGTGATCACTTCTAATTATAATTGGTCACTCTGAGTTTGTCATACAGCCAGAACATGAAAGTAGAAAATAAACTGTGAAAACCTAGGATTTGAGAAGCCTGACAGATCTACGTCACACTATTCAACATTCATGGGATCACTCATCTTGGCTCACGATGGGGGAAGCTGAGAATGTCTCAAAACTAACCATTAGCATTAGCAATTCCACCACACAGCATAACTCCTTCAGGCTGGAGGTAATTGTGGAGATAAAACATCAAAATTGCAGAGCAAACACAGTCAGTGGTAGAGTCACATTGCTGTTAGCCAATCAGAGGCGAGATGTCCAAATATCAGGAAATAAGACCCCAAAACCTGCCGTTTAGCTCTCCTCTGATGTGGCATTCTGCTAGCTCCTGAAGCAAGCCCTTCTGCCGTACTATGACTTCTGGAAGGCGAGTTACAAACCAGACCAAGGTTGACTGAGCGTTTATCTGCAGAGAAAGTCAGGCTCAGTCAGATTACGAGTCCAGACTAACGAGTTTATATGCACTGAGAAAAAATAACGTCACTGTATTTAAGGTAGTAATTTGGATTATTGATGCCCTTACAAACACACCGACTATCCCCAAACACACCCATGGCTACGTTACAAAGTATTGAGGTGAACCTTTAATATTGACTAACAATTTATTTTCGTACTTGAAATTCAGATATTCATATATTTCCTGGAATTTTTGTTTAGCGTCTCAAAATTATGAGATACATCTTCTTTTTTTTAAATCAGAGTGGCGGGAACGGGCTTCTGTAAAGAACTGACAAGCTAATGGAAGAAAAAAAATTGTGTCATGCTGTAGCAATCTGAAGAAATATCTCATTTTATAAATGTGAATACATCTATTTGAACGGACTGCTATAAAACAATGCGGAGTTTTTACCGTTAATCTCTGGAAATATCCAATGGAATGTTGGTGAAAATGACTTAAATGATGCCCAGTTGTTAAAAGATATTGGTGCCCTTGTTAAATATAACCGTAACGAGTCTAAGATTCTGGGCGATGCCACATAAGACGCCATGTTTCCTTCTATGTGAGCCCGTGAGGATGAAATGCATCAACATTATTGTTTTACACTTTCACGTCTTTGCTCGTCCCAAGGATGACAGGAAGTCTGGCGTGCTTGTCATTTTGCTGGAGGTTGAACGATCTAATGAAGTACATGTTCGAAAATTACCCTACCAGCGGTTTTTGACCCTAACGGGCATCCATGGTCAGGTCTTACTCGAATACAAAATTACTGCTTGCTTGCAAAAATTTAGGTGTGTACTGCCATCTTTTGCCAGGGGGAATACACACTGTCACTTTAAAGACTGGAGTTGTTTCAAGATGGCAAAAAAGTTGTTAACCAACTTTTCTTTGAAATCCACTTAAAAATGTTCAAATGATTCTTTTAAATTTTGGTTTAACCTTTTCAGAGAAGTAAGGCGTGTTTCTGTAAGCAGAACAAAGCTTATCAGCATCTGTAACTTTTTTATACAAACCAGAGTTTACAAAAATATAGCAGAAACTAAATCTGAATGTTTTTCCCTTGGCAATTTGAACAAATTTAAAGCAAAAAATGAGAAGAAATATGTTTCATTTTGGACGAAGCACCCGCAGCAGGCATGAATCCAGTCCTGGGTTGGGCTGAAACGATAACAACCTGAACCAGAAAATCCTGATCCTACAGTCTTACATAAGCTCAAGGGCATTAAAACCCTGTGATTAATCCAATAATTAAAATCAATAATTGTGTTAATGTTACATGGCCCTATCAATACTTTTAAAATGTCTCCAATGTGTCGGTTTTTACTCCGTCTGCACCAAGATGTAATATTACTGCTTGATTTATTCTGAGGTGAACCGACTTTTATCATTTTTAAAACCATCTCAGGATTTCTGCTGAACATCACTCCCTTAGGATTCTGCAGGAGCTGGCTCTCCCTGTGCAGCCCACACCTAAAGATGCCCGCCCCCTACTGTCACCCATGCATTTGACACATTTTTGTTTTGGGATTTTATAGTAGACCTCTAATTTTCCATAGAAATCCGTAAAAAATTCTGGGCTACTTTTTTCCACCAGACACACACACACACAAAAAAAAAGCATGGAAAGTCATGCCACATTCTCGGCACACCCCCCATTCATTTTCTTAAGGGATCACATTTCATTGGTGTAGTTCAAGAACAGCTTCAGTGCAAATGCAGGTACACGCCCACTTCAGATATTATTTCAGTCAGACAAACTGTGGCGGTATGAATGATGAATGATTTGTCAAATTATATAATTACTTGTTTGCTGTCAGTGCAGGAAACTGACAGAGAAGAATCTGCTCCTAGCTTTAAATTTTCGTTTTTATGTTAGTGTTTTGTTTCCTTGGATGCAAATAAATCAAACATCTGACAACTAAAGTCACAGAACGAGCTCAACCAGTGGGGTTTCGATTACAAAACCGCCTCAGGTGGATAATGGCTGTGGGCTGATAGGGGCCACGCCTCCCTTTTTGCACGAACTTCATTTTTCATTTGGTGAAATACTGTTGAGGTTAACATCCCAGCTCTTTAAATTGTGTTAAAATTCTTGCCAATTCTGCTGTCTTTGAGTATCTGTAGATAAAGGTTAATAAAATAGGCTTCAGTTGTTGATGCACCTGAATACTGAGAAGTGTGTCTGCAGATTAATCTCACATTAGAGTTGAAACGTGAATTCCTGCAGTCTCTTATTATGGAAACATGAAAAGGATTACCCCTGCTAGTCTGTCTGATCCATGTTAAAGAAATCTCTAGGATGGGAAATGCACCTGTTATCAAAATGAAAACGAATTATTGGTTCAGTTCCGTGCAAGTTTGACACTGAGCCAAGTATAAACAAGTCCAGACAGCAGTGTTGGTAACAGAACAATGTAACCTCTTGACATTACACACCCACGTCTCCATCAGAGGTAGACGAATCCACGTCACTGAACAATGTCACCTGATCGTGCAACAGCAGCTGATTTCATCTCACGTCTTTTGTTTGGACAATGTGGCAAAAACTTTGCAGAAGCAAGCGAAGCAGCAAGGTTTCTGAGGATTCAGGCCCAGGCAGGAGAAGCCCGACTGTGCAAGAGAACAACTATCTGAGCTCAGAGTTTGGGAACTTTCTGGTGTTTTTCCCTGACGCGGAAGAGACGCTTAGAAGCAGGAAACTCAAAACAGATAGGGGGAACAAGAACGTTCTCACCACTTTCTAATTATTTTCAGTTTACTTCATCTGCAGGTTTGGTTTCATCAGACTGCAAAACAGGAATCTTAGTTTCAACTTGGCAAACGTCAGCTCTCTGAAATCAGTCATGGCACGGGATGAGACAGAGAAACAGACCTAACTAACCAGAATTAGATTGTGTGGCACTGGCGGCCACCGAGATGAAATAAAATGAACTGAAATGATTTGAATCAAGTCGAATAAAATTAAACTGAATTGAATTGCAAAAGTGAATTATTAAGTCTCACACTGAGGTGTTATTTTATTATCATTACAAGATTTACTCTAAATTCATAATAAATCACTAATCAAAGATAACTGTCATATACTTTACAGTAATAATCCTGATTTTCTGCTTGTTTGCATTTGCTTCCAGCGTGATAAATGATTCTCAAACTAAATGGCCACAGGGAAACATGTCAGAGGAATTAGTTTTCTCTTTGAAAGGAACTCCGGTCTCAGATGAAAGTAATTGCTGTACCATTTTTCAAAAATAAAGATCAGAAGTCATCTTTCACACTGAACAAAACAAACAAAAAAGACTAAAGTATTCAGAAAAACAGAGCCACTGGCTCATTCCTTTCATTTTACGAAGCTTAATGAGCCTAAAACAATGACCTTGTGAAAACATCAGAAATTCCTGGCAGCTGTTTATTATTTTATGTGACAAATTGTCTCCTGCAGCTCAGAGAGACAGTTTTCTACATTATTAGAGCAGTTCTAAAGCACTGCAGAAGTGCTCACTTGTAAACATCAAAAAGTAAACATTAACAGCTTCTATGAGACACTGTTGTGTCCTAGTTAGTGTGCTTTTTCTGATGGGACTAGATGAAAACCTCACACACACCCAGAGGGTGAAGACAACTGGACTTCTTTGGTTCCTTGAAGATGTTTCGTTTCTGTGGAGATTTGTCAATTCAGAATTGTGTGTGTGTGTGTGTGTGTGTGTGTGTGTGTGTGTGTGTGTGTGTGTGTGTGTGTGTACTTGTCTTTATATGTTTAAGTGGACCCATTTCAACTTTATCCTGCAACAAGTGGACATTTTCACATTGTGGGGCAATTTAGCTGGTCACACATGCACATGCGTGAGTGAGTACGTGAGAGTGTTTGTGTTTTTGTGTGTGTTCCTTGATAAATTACAAACCTAGTTGGTGCATTATCTTACCTAAACCAAAGAGCCTTTCCAGAGCTGTGATTACCGTAACGTTGCAGCACTTTTCTTCACGTGTGATTCACTAATGTTGGTCGGTTTCCAGCAGAGAACTTCAGGAGCAGGTTGGGTCACATCCTGGTTCAGATGCTGTTTCAGTTCAATCTGTTTATTTGTGTCACACCATTTCACAAGAACACTGTACAAAAAAGAAACAAGAACTCTCACCTCGTTAGTTTACACTGTGATGGATTTAAAATGATAAGTTACAACCAAACTGAATTCAACACAGGACAACGTAGAGGTTGAATTTGAGGCAAGTCTGCACTTTTCTCTCCAGTGAGACACTTTATGAACATGAAAAGTCACAAGCTGAAATGAAAGTGAGTACTGCCATCAGCTGGCCTATTATCATAACTTCACAAAATTCCTCAGATGATTTAACAAAATAAATAATGTTGGATTTTTGGGATTTATTCAGTTCTCAGATTGCTTATCAGAAGAACAAAATACACAAGCATAAAAAATGAGGGAAAGGAGTCCAGTTCAGAGGCTTGTATCATGTCATTTTGTTGTACATTGCACAGAGTTCTGTTCGGATTTTCTTAAAGGTCGGCCTGTTCTGGGGGTCGTACTGCCAGCAGTTGTTCATGATCCTAGAGATCTCCACAGGACAGCCTTGTGGAGCGGGCATCCTGTATCCTGCAACATATCAGAGTCAGTGCTCTGGGCTCAGACATCCAAACTCTTGTATCTGCCCGATGCGAGTTTTTACCTTTCTCTACCTCATCCCGTGTCTGTTGGTTATTCATGCTTGTGTAGGGCGTCATTCCCATGGAGAAGGTCTCCCACAGTAGAACCCCAAAGCTCCACACATCGCTCTGGGTAGTATAACGACCTGAGAAGGACAGCAGGTGGCAGCATTGGCAAAGGCACACGGTTGTCTCGGACAGAATCAAGCAGGAGAAACGTGGCCCACCATAGTACAAGGCTTCTGGAGCTGTCCATTTGACAGGGATCTGCTTCAGACCACCCTCTGCAGAGTAGACACCGTCGTCCCGCTCTCGAGACATCCCAAAGTCACTGATCTTCACCAGGTTGTCTTCTGCAACCAGACAGTTCCTCGCTGCAAGGTCCCTTAAAAAGTAGAGAAGAGGATGAGAAAGGCAGGGAAAGAAAAGCAGAAACATGACACTCTGCATGACAAGAAAACTGCAGGGAAACAAACAGTAAAAATGAGAAGAAATAACAAGTGTCCCTTCAGTGTTTCTGGTGTTTCAGTCCAATTTGAAATGCAGTGCAGCTCCAGGCAGAAGGCTGCTCTGATCCATCCCCGCTGGGTGAAGCGTGTGGTGAGAGGGATATCACAATCTCCTCCTCATCCTCCTCCAGATCTCCCACAGTCTTCTCTGATGCCTCATCCAAAGCTCATGTTCTCAAACCCACTCAAACACAACAACACTTATTTTTTAGCTTCATCCACAGAATTGTCACCCAAAAAAAAAAACTGACGTGTTTTTGTTTCCATGCTTTTGCAAAACTTCTGTCCAGACTAAAAACATGAAAAATACAAACCACATTTTTGATCTTTAGACACACATCCACACAGACCAGCCCTCAGAAATGTAGGTCGGTTTTAATTCATTGTAGAGAAGCTCGTTAGCCTGTTTGGATTGCATTGAAATAAAACTCATCACCTTCATTTCTATATCTCTGCTGTTATCATAGTTGCATGAATGCTAATTTTAATCCACTGTCAGTTCTAAATTGGTGGCTTTACTGGACACTAAAAAAACTTTTCTGGCATAAAAATACGATCTGCTTAAATGTTTTTACTGTAAACAGCAGGAGCTGTGAGTTCAGCTCATCTCCACCTACAGATGGAGAATTATCTCAGAGTGTAATGAGATCGACTTGCTTCAGGAGGTTTTGCTCAATAACAATAACAGTTTAATAATAATATATAAGTTGGGGTTTGCAGAATTATTTACTGCTTTTTGCTGCAAACTTTCAGTTTTTTCCAGATGCCTGTTTTGTTTTTAAACCTTAGCAGCTGTAGACTTCCTCATTTTACAGTTTTTTTCTCTATTTTTCTTTTGGAACGATTGGCTAAACTTGTGTTTCACATTAATTCGTAATGCAGTGCTGAATTTACGTTTATGTTCTAATGCGATGAAGAAAATGCTGTTCTTCCTATTCCTGTTTCTCGGCCACTTCTTCAAAAACAACATATGAGGAGAAGTGCTGTGGGGAAGTTTCCATTTCTGATTCTTTAGTTGATCTAACATCATAAATTTATTGTTAAAGTCACTGAGTAATCTATTATTATGGGGTATGTGATTTAACGGAGGAGGTGTTATAAAACCTGTTGCTTGTAATCAACAGTCAGGTCACTGTCCCTTCATGGTATTAGCTCACAGGTAATAAATTAACACACGATGGAAAATAATTGAAAATTACTTCAGTAAACATGAATTAATAATCCAATCACATAAATTAGTTTCAGGTCAAAATATTTAGCATGAAAGTTTTAATATTTATTATTAATTAAACTCATGAAATGTCTGCATTTAATAAGCATAAATTCACAGAAAGTCTGTTGTAAGTTGTATTTATGAGGTGTCTGAAGATTTTTGGTTTTGAGGAATTAGGATTAGGAGTAGATTAGAGGATTAATTATGATCAGCTAATGGCTAATGCTAATTGCTAATGGTTAATGCTAATTTTTTAAACCAGCTAGCCACATCATGGCTGGTTTCAAAGTGGATTTTCTAATTTTCTAATAAAAGCTTCTACTTTGAATCTGCAAACAAACTTTGACCCCCTACCCCCACCCCCACCCCCCATCCCCCAGGTATCTTCACTGGTTACACGTCCACCGAAAGTAGAAACCCACATTGCCAGGGGAAACAAGAAAGCACTAAACACCAGTCACCATTTTCTACACCCAGGTGTATTTTGTGAATGGTGTTTTTCTTTTTGGGACTCTCATAGTTTGTCCTAAAGTTGAAGCGGTAGCAGCTGGCTGTTTCACCTTCTCTGATGTTATTGAGTGGAGAACTTCTCACACCAGTGGCGTTCTGTTGCTAAATACGCGAGTGCATAATGAGTGGAGGACCCAGGGAAGTGCGGCGGTTCGGCGAGACTGACAACTGAATGGTCCAATAGTTGCTGTTGGTTCAAAACGTGTTATTGGTGGAGGTTTTTAGACAAATGCAACAGAACCACTTTGTTTTTTTTTTAATATCCAAAATACATTGTAGCTATACTATGTTAGAATGTTGTTAAGAGGCATGAAAAAACGTTTTAAGCTAATTTGTTTTCCAAATTTGCTAAAGCAGCTTTAAACTGTATCCAAATTGATGTGGTTGTTTTTGTTTTGTTTTAAGGGAATTTGACTGTTAATTTTGGCTTCAAATAGCCACAAATTTCTGTAAAAACAGTAAAGTAGCAAAGTTTATTCACAGATACTAAGACGTGTAATACTTTTTCCATTTGAAACATGATCTATCACTCTGAGTTGTACGGTAACGTAGAGCTGCCGCCCATGCAAATATAAATTAGAGCGATAACACGTTATAATGTGACAATTTCATTGTTCTAATATAATTTTCACATTCTTACAGAATATAATTATCTTACAATTTACATAACTAATTACCACATTTGTACTATATTTTTTTATTATTTGTACATAATGATATTATACAAAGTGATACATAGCAAAGTCTTATTAGAACATGATTTTGTTGAAACATAAAAGTTATGTTACTAGAGTAATAAAAGTTATCAAGGTATAACGTACTATCCCTAAATTTTTATTTTGCATGGGTGGGAGCTTTATGTTTCCACAGAGTTGCATATGCATGCTGTTGTTAGCCAACCAGAGGCAAGATGTTTGCATACCATGAATATTAATAAGTAAGTCTACAAATCCTAACTTCTACTTTCTGAAACAGGAGCATCTTAGCCTTTTATCCACAGAAAAATACAAATAATAAAAATCAAGTCAATGAGAGCATTAATAGACCAAGGGGGCTTGATAATTCAAAGCTCTACAAGTCAAAAAATAATTTAATAAATCATTGATGCAAAAACTACGATGTTTCACTAACTAGCTGTTAGCTCATCAATCAGAGGTAGTTCAAAAATATTGGTTTTACATAAACTTTTCACAGAAATCCTCTTTAAAAGATCTTAGGCCCTTCCAAAACAATATATTATAGCCTCGTTTTTTTCATTTGAGAAAATCATATTCAAAAGAGTCAGGATGAACAGAGATCCCCTTCTCCCATTAGAAGCTGCTGGATTTTAAATATTTCTTTGAAAACGAGAAGGAACTTTTCCAGGAAACACAGAATGAAGGAGAAAGTGGTTGTTCACACAGCATTAGCTCACTGAGTCTGACTCTGATCAGACAGAATCGTTCACCCTGCAGAAAATGAGCTCCTTCACATGTAATCTAACAGCCTCATCAACTATCCAGAGACGGCTCCAGAAACCAAATTCGAGTGGTCATTTCTAGAACAAAAACATACTGGCTATGACTGGGTAGAGGGGTCAAAGTTCAACCTCTTTGGTTCAAACAGATCCGTTCTTAACAGTTGTCAGATGAAAGTGTGATTCATCCGCGTGTAGCTGTGAATCACGCGGCGGGGTCAGTGATAGTTGACAGTGCTTTGCTGCAGGCAAATGTATTGATCTTCATAAAAATCAATGGCACGCTCAACAAACATGGATATCGCTCTGCTCTGCAGTACCAAGCTACACATTCAGGAACTTTCTCAGGCAGCAAGTCTGCAAACCACAGCTGCACAGTTGGGCTGTGCTCAGAAGAAAGAGAAAGATTGACTTCAGAATCCATAATGAGATCACAACAAGCCATCCAGACATACTCACTTTCTCACTGTTGTAAAGAAACAACTCATTTGAAACGCAGAAAATCTGTAGCACAAACTTTTAGTTTGGAAGCCTACATTCAACCAACCTGTGGATACACTTCTTGCTTTCCAGGTACTCCATGCCTGCTGCTACATTTACGGTCATCTTAACCAACGTCTTTGGGGTCAGACTGTGACCCTCGAGACGCAAGAAGGAGAGAAAATCCCCACCTTTAATGAGTTTCAGAAACAAAATGAATCAAATGCATTAAACTACTGGTTGTTATGAATCAGCAATGCAGATGAAAGACGGCGTTACCTGCAACGAGCTCCATGATGATGTAGATGGGCTGTTTTTGCGTGCACACTCCTATCAGTTTCACGATGTTGGGATGGTCGTACTGCTTCAAAATTCTGCCCAGCACAGAAAGGGGTTACACTACTGTGTGTGTGTGTGTGGGGGGGGGGGGGGGGGGGGGGGGGGGGTACTGACCTGGCTTCCATCAGGAACTTACTCTTGTGCTCTGGAGCCAGATTCTCTTTGCAGGATTTTACCGCTACAAGAGTGTTATCCGCCTGTAGTCGACCTCTGTACACCTCTCCAAAGTTCCCCTGCAGAATCAACACCATCAATATTTTATAACTATGTGGTTTCAACTTTTTTCATTTGGGACTCTTGCTTTTGCTTAAGTTGTTTAGTATTTGTTTTTATTTCTGATGATTCGGTTTTTATTCCTTGGCATCATTTTCTGCTTCATTCCATTGGTCTTAATTTTTTTTCTCACAATTTCTCAGACGTTTGCCTCTTTTCACCACGAGTTAATCCTGGTTTTCAGTTCTTTGTCTGATCCTGGTCCAGTTTCTGGTTTCACTTTGGATTCCTTGCCAGTGGAACACTTCTTGTTTCAAATAAGGCTGATGATTTTTAATTTATCCTGGATCTCATCAACGCAACTTAACGACGTTATTTAAGCACAACCTAATTACTTCTAACTGGTTTCATGATCTTCATACTGATTTTTTGTTGTTGTTTCAGTTTGATGCTTTCACGTGAACTGGTAAGATAAATGACTCATTCAGACATGTTCTTTAACTGAAAATAGCAAAAACGCACCAGAAAAAGCACATTCTGAACACACTTTTAGGGGAAAGGAAGTTCTTCTGACAGTAATTGCAGCAACACGTTTACAATGTTGCATCACTTTTTCACCAACCTCTGATTTAGCTATGTGAGGAAACTGAATTCTACTATTTTGTGGCTCTTGGTTGAATTTTTCATCATGTAATGCTCCAAATATTTTCTGTGTGTAACATGTTTGGACCGTTAGCTCTTTAGCCCAGAGGAAACAGCTTTCCCAAATATCCAAAAAGAAACTTTAAACTTAAGTCCACCTTAAATAAGATCAGGAGATAGCTTGTGCTTCTGGTTCTTTTGATCCTCTGCTGAAAGGACTTTATTTTTATTCATCCCTCATGACATTGTCTTAGTTCCAAGCGTCTATGAATAATAATATATTAATCAAGACAAGATAAGAAGTTATTTTGTTTATTGCAATAAAAAGAAAACAAAAGTTACTCCTAAATTGTGAAACTGCTTGCAGGTAGAGACTTTCACACACCAGTGAGAGAATCGTTTTTACACCCTGTAGTTTTACTGGCATGCTCCAAATAAACATAATGAAATCATTCACGCTTTAATGGGTGATTTTAAAAGTCCAGAAGAAATGATCAAGAACTTTTTGTAATACTTAAAAAACTAAGATCAAAACAGAATTATTGCTTTAAGAGATAATTAAGAAACATGAGGATGATTTTGTCAGGTGCTTGGAGGGAGATCCACTTTACACATGGTCTAAACCTCGTAACACTAAAATATGACTGAAGATTTAAAATCTCCCAGTTCTTGAGTCTTAATGATAAAATAATACCAATAACTTACATCATCTTTTTGACAATTCATAAATATCGAACATACTCACCCGTCCAATCAGGGGTCCCAAGATGATGTCATCATGTTCAAGCACCCACTTATCCTAAGGATAGGAATAAACACACACACACACACACACACACACACACACACACACACACACACACACACACACACACACACACACACACACACACACACACACACACACACACACACATCAGACCTGTTTTAATCTTCTTTTGTGTGTGTGTGTGTGTGTGTGTTTGTGTGTGTGTGTGTGTGTGTGTGTGTGTGTGTGTGTGTGTGTGTGTGTGTGTGTGTGTGTGTGTGTGTGTGTGTGTGTGTGTGTGTGTGTGTGTGTGTGTACGCGCATTTATGCATTACCTTCAGCACTGGTTTCTTCAACAAAACATCTGACCTCTTGGTGATCGGTTGCCGTGACGACTGAAGATGATGGATCAGCTTAGGGATGCTGTTGAAGCCTTCTCCATCCAGACGGTACAAATTCTACTGACGGACAAGAAAAGCATTTACAGAGCTGAGCCGGTGTGTCGACAGGGGGAAAAAAAATGAAAACTTACTGACTTCTTGAGAAAGACTGGTCTCTGGTTTTTTTTCTTTTTTTTTTGGGGGGGGGGGGGGGGGGGGTTACATTTTTAATTGTGTTTTTGTATCAGATCAGTGTAAAATATTAATCTCGTTTTGAGAATTTATAAATGTAGGCTTCTATAACCTTTTTATGCAAACAACACTGAAATAATTATGTTTTAACTGTTTTAATCTTGCATGAATCATTACAAATATGTTAGAAAATGATGAAAGACAGTGAAACGCAGGTTGAGCCCTCAGAAAGGTTCAGTTCAGTGCAGCAGATTTACTTACATCCGTGTTCTGAATGAGAAAATGCCTGGAGGATCCATCCCATTGCACAGAGAGCACATAACCCTGTTTTTCTTGACTCTTCCTCACTAAAAAGTCTCCGCTGTTTTCTAAAAGCTGCTGGACTTCCAGTCTGGGAATGGCTCCATGGAACCAGTCCTGCTGTTCCACAGGACGGTCCACCTCCAGCACAGGGGATGAGCCCGGGATGACCTGGAGGCAGAAGAGGAAAATCATGTCTTTATTACAGCCGACATGAAAAACAACACAAAAACAGATGGGTTTTTGAGAGATTCGACGGAGATTATTTGGAGACGTATCAAAAGAAAACTGCAAAACTTGAAAGTCAAACCACTTTCATGTCTCCAGGGCAGCAAAGTGATGCAAGTCAGAGAGGAAGAAGCAGCTCACAAAAACTGCACTTTTCATTTCAGGTGCAGCGCATCAGACACTTTCCCTGGATAACAATTTAGAGCGTGCACATACACACACACACACACACACACACACACACACACACACACACACACACACACACATTCGTTTTAATCATTCAAAACTTACAGAAGGACTTTTCCTGTTGAGACTCTGGGTCACTTTTCCTGTTTGTCAGCATTTTAAATATAAACCAGCTCCCTGAGAGGTAAACTTGAATTTGGGTCAGGCAGAAAGTTTTAAAAGTCATTTAACCTCAAAATGTCCCAACATGCTGTCAGAGTGTGAAACCTGGGAGAGGCCCCTGAAACTCTGCAGCTTTTTTCTGCAGCATGATTTATTGTTTGGGGTGCGGGTAGACGATCCGGAGGCAGGTGCTGCAGAGGATCTACGCTGAGGGGAGGACCTTAGATAAGGGGAGGACATTTCCTTCAGCAGGAACAAGTGTCCTTCAGTCCCAAAACATCAAGCAAAAGAGTTTGTTTACATGGATAAATAATTCTTTACAACAACCAGAATCATTTGGACTTCCATTTAACTTCTTATGAAAAGCTGCCTGCTTGTCTGGATGTAACAAAAAACAGATAATTTGCTCAGGAAAAGCTCAGTTATGTTGAGCCCTCTGAATCATAAAGCTGATGAAATCATGTCACACCTTAATAATCGGAAGTAAACAATTGCTTTTTAGAATTTTTGCCTCTTTGGGATAGAAAGATTTTCAATAAGATTGAGGAGCTTATTTGTTGTAGCTTAGTTTGGATTATTTATCAACACACACACACACACACACACACACACACACACACACACACACACACACACACACACACACACACACACACACACACACACACACACACACACACACACACACACACACACACACACACACTCACACACACACACACACACACACGTGTGTATATAAATAAATAACCAACCTCCAGCTTGGGCTTAAACAAGCTGCTCAGATTGTTCAGGATACCTTCCACGAGGAGCTTTCCTGATGTTTGATTGCTCTCCTAAAACAAAGCAGTGACAGCTAATAACATTCTGTGACTTTTAACGCATACACAGACCATATTGACGAAGAAAGCATACATTGCTTGTACTGGATATGTTGGAACCAGAGTCTGTATCCAGGATCAGAGCCACAGGAGGTTCTCTGGATCCCAGCTGGTCCAGTTTCTCCTTCAGAAGAATTCTCTGAACCTCCAGTTTGGCCTTAATGCCCTGAGACAGAGCCACCTGCTGCCTGCTCTCCTCCATCACGTGCCTTTTACTGAACTGGTAAACCCTGGTGGAATAACAGAAGAGAAACATCAGTAAACTTCTCCTCCTTTTCCATGAATCTTATGTTTCAGCAGCCTGGTTTAGAAATCTTTAGATCGTAACTAATCACACTTTTTTGTTATTTCACAAACTGCATATTTTGGATGTGTTCTTCCACGCCCAACTTCGAATAAGATAGCTTGTATGTTTTGAACAAATGACTTGTTTCATAACATCCAGTAAATTATTATTTTACTGGATTACACAAAAGGTTTGGGTTCACAACCCAGCCTGGGGTCTTTTTGCAAAGAGTTTGGATGTTCTCCCTGTGCATGTGTGGGTTCTCTCCGGGTGCATCCTCCCTCAGTCCAAAAATATGACCGTCTGTAGGGTTGATTGGTCTCTCTAAAATTGTCCTCAGGTGTGAGTGTGTGTGCTTGGTTGTTTGTCCTGTGTGTCTCTGTGTTGCCCTGTGATGGACTAGAAACCTGTCCAGGGTGTACCCCGCCTGTTTGACCAGAGACCGCTGGAGATGAACACTAGCTCCCTGCAGCCCTGCATGGATGAGCGGGTAAGGATGGATGGAAATACATTTAGACCAAGTTAACTACACAAATTAAATTAAAATTTAAGGATCTCAGAGCCCTGCTGGGCATATATACTGGAAGGAGATCTGACCTGTATTTCGGCCCTATGCCATTGAGTCATTTACAAACTAGTACAAGCACTTTAAAGCAATGCTGTAGTTTACTGGTAACCAGTGTACTGATTTACAAACAAGAGTGATGTGCTCAGGTCTCTAGGTACAGAGGTATTTGAAGAAATGATTTACTGAACTTTAGATTAAATTTCCTTTTGATCTGTTTGCCTAAATATACTTTAATATTCTTTAAATCCAGCAAATTAAAACCCCACTTTCAGCTGATAAAAGTGTTTCTGTCCAATAGTTGATTATCTCCTCCCGTCATTTTAACAGCGGACATCCAGTAAGAGAATTAGTACTTTAGAAACCAGAGTATCTGTTCATACTGTCAATGTTGTTGCCCCAGAGCTTGAAGGAAAAGATTTAAATAATGTCAGTGAGACCATCAGGTCAGTTAATGAGCTTAGGTTGAAAGCGATGGTGTGAGGTGCTGAGATTGGCAGCGAGAGTAATGAGAAAAGTCCCAGTAGGAGGAGAATGTATCGCATGCAGTGCAGGGATGGTCTGGACATGTGAGGAGACACGATAAATAAAATGAAGCTGTCAGATTTGTAGACGGGGCGGCAGAGAAAGATGCGGAGGAGATCTGATTTAATAATCTCTGACAGGAGCAGCTAGAGGAGGAGGAAGATGCCAGAAAACATTTATATTTGATTTAGTGACTCTGGGGTCATTTGATTTGAAATAATATAATAAATTAACTAAGAAGATATTAATCAGCAGCAGTTTGGATGATAAAGACCCTAATTTAAAACAAATTTGTAGTATCTCTGTTTCTAATGCGATTATTTGATGGATTTTGATTAAACAGTTTTTTTAAGCACTCGCCATTCACAAAATGTTTATATTAATGTTTTTTCTTAGGTTAAAGGGTGTGTATTTATTATATACTGAGCCATATATTCGTGGAAACCATTCTTACATGAGTGATGGATGCACAGAAACAGGAGGTCACCACAAGTCTGACTTGGACAGCTTTTCCTGCTGCTTTACAAAGTGTGTTGTTAAAAAAACACTAAAGGACAAGCTGCCCTCCAACACCTCCGTATGTGCTCCCCAGCTGCTCTCAGTGATGGTCAACATTTTACAAATAAACACGCTTCTGCCTCATCTTTCTCTGCAGCTTGTTAATGATTCAATCACTCCCACAGGAACACAGAATTCCTAAACCTTCCGTCTCACCGAGCTGGAAAACCGAGAGGATCAATGTCCATAACACGCTGTTGTGGAATAATTAATAGTCTCCTGAGATCAGATGGCCCACAGAGGCTGAATGGATACAAAAAATGTTGTTTGCTTTCAGTTTATTTTATTTTTAACAGTAAAGTGTGAACTTCTGGTGGGTGTTGACCTCTCACCTCTTGCCTTTTCTCACACCTTCATGCTCTTCATCCAGCTCAAGCTCTAGCTGATCCACGAAGGTCTGCTGAGAACCCAGAGTCCTTGCCAGCACCAGCAGTTCCTCCTCTGTTGCTGTCAATCTGAAAAAAGAGCAAATTTGGGAAAACCACGTTTTAGAAGAAGTGAACAAAGCCTACAAATAGATGAGGAAGCTGTTCAGTCAGTGATCTGATTGAGAGATTGTTGTCAGTGTTCTCACTTGTGTTGTAATGTTTCAACTGTGAGGTCATTCAGTTCAAGCTCTTTGGGCTTCAGCTTGTCTGTGTCCTCCAGAAGGCTGCAGTCAAAATCTGCACAAGCTGGAGTTTCCAGCACAGACCTGCAGACACAAACACACACAGTGTTCCCACGGCAAAGGGGTCGTGACTGCAGAGGTGCAATGGGGGAAAGGGTTGTCTCCACACTACCTGTTCTGGTGGATGAAGCTCTCATACTCGCTGTGAGGATCGATGGCTGTCAGAGCAAAAGACATCTCCTTGTGGATCTTCCCCACTTCATGATGGAGGAGGTTGGAGATGTCAAAGTACTCCTGCAGGATCTCCTTTCTGTAACAGAAGGCAAGTGGCAAATGAAAATTAGAAAGATAAATGAGGTCAGCTTTTGAGCTGATTTCAGACTTAATCAAACCTTTAAGACAATAGATGATGCATCTTTTATCTTCATGATGGATTAGTGAGCGTCAGCCCGATTGCGTTACCCCTACGGCACACGCTAAAAGACAAACCCAGCCTTCCAGTGATGATGGAGTCAGTGTTCACACACTTCTCACTCCTCTGAAGGGCAGAGACACACTTTTGGGAATGCTATCACAGCTCAGCAATCCTAAAGAAACTAACTGACAGCATCACCCTGCAGCTGCCTGCTGAACTCCTCACAAACAACCTTTAATCAGTCGGAGTCGGAAACCAGACCTCAAGCATGAAAATCATCGCTGGATGCCCTGGAAGCTGTGTGAACAGTCCACTGCTCTGCAGCCTTTTCCCACCATGACTTAGCAGCGGTAGCTCAGGAAGTGGAGCGGATTGTCCAGAAATCAGAAGGCTGCTGATTTGATCCCGGCTCCCAGCAAAAAATGCTGCTGTTGCTGAGTCCTTAGGCAAGACACTTAACCCACATTTCCTGGCGGTGGTGGTCGGAGAGATCAGTGGAGCCTGTACTTAGAAGCCTCACCTCTGTCAGCGCGCCCCAGGGCAGCTGTGGCTACATTGTAGATCATCATCACCAGTGTGTGAATGTGTGCGTGTATGGATAAATGATAGGCTGTAGTGTAAAGTGCCACGGAGTCCTTTGACTCTGATAGGTGCAATGCAAGGTCATTAATCACTATGTGGCCTGGTATTACAGGACAGAAGAGGCAAAACTGAGGAGGAAGAAGAGGTGGTGAACGCCTTATTAAATAGGAGATCAAGGAGGATCTTAGCAGGTCGTAAGGAGAAGACTATACTTTCTGAGAACGTTAAACTTTTACTGGGGGATCATGGAGAGACTGATCACCGACTCTGTGTGGTATGGAAACTGCCACGCAGGAGAGACAGAGGAAAGTGTTTTTAAATGTAATGGGCGTTACCTTCTCCTTTCTCCAATCAGCATTCTCTGATATTTACCAACGCCTCAAGCATTAATCCTTCTTACTTTCTCCTTGTCGTACTTTGAGAGTTGTTTTGTTTTTCATGTGAACGGAAGCAAAGAAAGCTGAGGTGTGTGAGCACAGGAAGAAGCCGTTCACCTCACATTTTTGTCTAAAGCACCAGTGTCACCAGTGGGTTGAATCTGGATCTGCATCAAACATCTAACTTTTTCACATCTAAAGTACCACTGGACTCTTTGGATCGAACCACGTTCAAAGCCTTCTTTGATGTACATCTCAGCCCTACAGGAATCGCTGATTCTGTGACTTTTCTAAAGATGGTTAAATAGTTTTCAAAGGCATCAGTTTTTCCAATATTCACTAAAGCCTCACAGAAGTGACTGTGTGGATTTCTGCCTTTTGAAAAGTTTTCGTCTGTCAGAGTAATATGAAATCAGAATCTGTCGTACAGGAGCCGTGGTCCAAAATGTGCAACACTTTGATCCTGCAGAACCAGAAGTTCTCCTTTTCTTAATTTAACTCATCTGAGTCCAGCTCCTTTGTGAGCAAAACACAAAAAGAGAGCCAGAGAGAGAAAAGATCAGAGTCAAGGTGGCGAGTTTTCAACAAGTCTAACTCCTTTACTCCAAAGTTTCAACTTTAGACATTGTAGAACATTGTGTCATTTGTTAAAATAATTGTAAAAGTTGTCTCAGAGTTTCTCAATCTGCTTATTTTTCTTAAACTAACACTTTCAGACCTACAAATGTTTGAGTTTCTAATTAGACATCAAATAATTCCTTTGTTTGTTGTTTCAGTTTATTGTTCTCTTTGGGTTTTAATCCTAAATGCAGAAAACAACAGGGAAACATTAATGTGGTCATTATTGTCAGGTTAGGGTTCTGTTGCTTGTTTACACAAATGCCTAATCAGCCAATCACGTGGCATCATTTGGGCATCTAGTCGTGGTGATGGCGACCTGCAGATGTTGGGCATCAGAATGGAGAAGAATAAGGATTTAAATGATAGTTGACGTGGCACAGCTGTTGGCACCAGGTGGGTTGCTCTGTGTATTTTAGAAAGTTCTGATTTACTGGGATTTGCATCTCTAGGGTTTACAGGGAATAGTAAAAAAAATAGTTCTAATATCCAGTGAGCATCAGTTGTGTAGGTGGAAATGCAGAAATGCATTATTGAGATTGGAGCCGAATGTGTAGACCAGTTTAATATAGACATGCTACAGCAGCTCCGATACTGACTGTTTCTAATGGAGGTCTGCAGAACAGCCTCTCTAAACTGCATCAGCTGCTCCAGATGGACTCCAGCAGCAAAAGACCACACTGTGTCCTTCCTGTCAGCTAAAAACTGGAAACTGAGACTACAACAGTCACAGGGCCACCTGAATTGAATATAAGGGACTGGAAAAACCTTTTCTGGCCAGATAAGTGTGGACTGATTTCAGCTGTGGAGTCAGAATTTGGGCATCATAAACATTAAGACATGGATCTACCCTGCCTTGTCTTAGTGCTTCAGGCTTCTGGTGGAGTTGGTCCAACTGTGGGGGAGATCTTCTGGTCCCACTTTGGAGCCCTTAGAGCCTGAGTCTAGTTTAAAAACCACATCTTGCCTGCGTATTGTTGCTGGCCATGTCCATCCCTGTATCTCCACCCTCTGATGGCTACTGGGGTGTGTCCAGGGGGTGGCCTGGGGTAGCAACTGCCAACCTTTGAACCTATTGGTCTCTCCAGGTGCCACATCACTGGATTCCATTTAAATAGACTTTTTCCACAAAAGCCTTGTTTTTTTTTTTTTAAAAAAAAAAGCATAACCATAGGTGCCACCAGTGCATGAATTAGTTGCCCACCTGGACCACCCCAATCTAAAAGGTCTGGACACGCCACTGATTTGCAGCAGGATAATGCACCACGTCACAATGCTCGACATTTCTGTCACGTGAAAATTTGTTCACTGGACTCTAACGGCCCTCCACAGTCACCTGACCTTATTTCTATCAAGAACCTTTAGGATGGGATGGAACAGAAGTTTTGGAGATTTGCATCAACTGTGCGATGATTTCATGCCAACCTGGGCCAAAGTGCTGAATTTATGAATCAGTGACTTAAGGCAGTTCTCAAGGCAAAGGGGGTTTGACTGAGTACTAGCATCTAAGTAAATAGCTGAGTTGATTTTAGCATTTGGTGATGATTAAATATTTAGCAAACCTGAAAATAATAGTGGGCAAACATTCCTACTGTGCTGTGATTAAATAATGAAACCAAGAGCAGCTTTTCTCTGTGGGAGACTGAAAACAGATCTTCTGCTGTTTCCAAATGAAGTTCCCTTGACATTCATGCTCTTTCACACACTCAAACACACACACACACACACACACACACACATGCCCACACGCAAACATCCCTGCTGTACTGAGTGGGATCTTACAGGATGAGCACCATCTCCTGCTGCAGAGTCTGCAGCGTGCTGAGCAGCGCCGGCTGCATCTGGCTGTAGTGATGCTGATGGTAAACCTGAGCGGCTTGCACAGCCAGGACGTACTCGTTATGGAGCTCATGCAGCTTCTGCGTGGCCTTTACGTAGCGCTCTTTGTTCTTGTCTCGGTCTTTATCTGAACACAAAACATGCGCACAGATTCAAATAAAACAATCAGACCACATCGGGACTCAGTCTGAAACTGATTCTCTTAGGAGAAATAAAACACTTTTGAAGAGCGCACCTTTACTTGTTTCCTGGAACTTTCTCTTGGTCTGTGCTACGTCTTTCGCCACCTGCCTGTAGCTGCTCTTTAGCTTCTCCAGCTCTGTGCAGGTCACCTGAAGTAAGTGCAAAAAGACGGTTTTAAAACACATTTAAATGTAAATCACCCAACATTCAGTCTATTCTGAGTTCGAGTCACGTGAGCTGATTTTGTGCAGCTTGAATATAACCAGGAATCAAGAGGAAGGTGAATTCTTAGACTCATTTTGAGTGAGACGACAACGCAGACACAGCAAGTGGACTGCAGACCCCACTGAGTTTCTCTGCAGAGGAACATAAAACATGACAAACAGCAAAAGAGGAAATGGTTTGGCCTTTGTTGTGGGGCTGACGGTGGCATTTCAGTGCTGACTGATAGCATCTCTCGTGTTGTTCTTTTATTGTAATTGTGATTGAAAAGTAAGCAATCTACATATAACTGAACCACATTAGCCAGCCTTCAGCTGCACAGCAAACCAAGAACAAAGTGTCAAACAAGTTGCATCACAACATGGCTCATTTGCTTGATGTAACTGGATAATAAAGGAACTGTGTGGGTGACTGCCAGATTGCAATGAATTCAAAATGCACTGAACATTTCTAAATGGATGGTTTTTGAATCTTTAGGATTTTTTGTTTTTGATTAGCGGCTATTTATGAAGCTGCCACAGCAAATCCCATCTGATGTCACAGTCACATCAGCAAAACATCTAAAAAAAAAACTCATTTTTATATTTCATGCTTTTTAAGCATTTATACTGATTTACCAGTGCAGAGTTGTGTATTACCATAAATGTTTGGTGTGTTGATCTTGAAATTTAGTGTCGCCAGAGAATGGTTGTAGTAAGTAAATTTCATTTATATAGCACATGTCATCACAGATAGAGAATCACAGAGTGCTTCACATAGATCAAAAATCATAAAGTCATAAAATCATAATAATCCTAAAACAGAAATCTATTGAAATCTGAAAAACAAAGTCATAAAATTATAAAAATATCAAACAAATGAAAGATGATTACAATTCTTTTGTTAAAAATAAGAAAATTAAATATTTAGGTTAAAGTAGATTTAAGGGTCTTCAGCTGTTTTTTGAAGTGTCCAGACTGTCAATACTACGTAAGAAGAAAGGAAGTTCATTCCAAAGTCGGTGTGCAACAATCTGGAAAAAGCGATCACCTCGACTTTTATATCTGGTCTTTGGAACTTCTAGAACGTTCCGGTTTGAAGCCCTGAGGGCTTGGGTTGGAGCAGAAGGCTTTCAGTAATATAGGGTTGGGCTTGTAGGAGATCAGTTACCCAGATATTTATCGCAATTTTTAATGTGGAAACAGATTATCTCTGCACAGCGTGTCAAAAGACAGGGTTAGTGGAGGGTCTGTCAGTCTCTTTGAGCATCCTGGTTAGGTTGAGGTTTAGTATTACAGTGATTTCCATAAATGCCATATTCTTCTGGATAATCTGGATGGATCCTGGCACATTACTTTTTTTTTGTTTGTTTTTGCAGTAAAACAAAAACATTCTTAAGTGAAATTTAGTCTGTTGCCATATTCTGCAGAGTTACATAAGTAACCAGCCCAGTCTAGCAGTATTCTGTTAGCTTTAGCTTAGCATAAACAATGAATGGTAACAGCTAGCATTTCCATCATTAAAATTTAAAAAGACATCAACTTCCTTAAACACAAATGTGGTGGTTACTAGGGTTGTAGCAGTATAGCTTTCTGAAGGAGGATCATGGGAAGTGGCACCAAAATGACAGAGTATGACATGAATTAGGTCTCTTTTAGGGTCGCCACCTCTTGTCCTTGCACCCGACAGCAGAGCTTTGTCATAACGTGGTCCCAAGTCTAAATCAGCTCCTGTAATTCCTTCATCTGACTTAATATTTTCCTTTAATGATTATTGAGATCACCAACAATAATTACGCGCACTTTTCAGTAATTTTCATCACGTTTCCACTCTAGCTGTTACCATTCACTGACATTGTTTATGCTTAGCTACAGCTAAGTCAGATAAGGTGAATGTCTGGGCTGGTTTCAAAATGCTTTTTCCCACTCATCTAGCTTTGGGGAAAATGGCAACAGATTCATTTAGGGGTGGAGTATCCCTTTACCCTTTATTTAATCAGGTGAGTCCATTGATAACTTTTTCTTATTTATAACAACGACCTGACAGCAGCAAGAGCAGAAAATACTAAACTAAACAAGATTAAAACACTCACAAAACAGTTACAAACACAAAGGCAATCCCCGCAATATGTTCTGAACAATCGAGTCAGTCTGAAGGCAGTCAGAAGCACGTGGATCGGGAGGGAGTGATTGTATCAAGTCATCAAAATAATTCAAAACTAAAACAAAAAAATAAGAATAGGAGACAAGTGTAAGAAAGCAGCCACTTAGCTACAGGTAACAACAGTCTGAAATCTGAGGAAGCATCACACTTAAATGTGAAGTGTTTAGTTTCAGCTGTAACTGTAGAGGAAGTGTTAGTGAGCTGTTGTGCACTAGGAGAACACAGAACTGAGGAAAGGTTTAAACCACTTCAGTGTGCCTCCAAAGCAGCCAGAAGTTATTTTAATCTTTTAAAGTTTTCCAGGTTTTTTTCAAGGTCTTTCAGAAATATTTAGAAATTATTTGAAATTTGCTTTAAAAAAATGAAATTACCTTTTCAGTTCCTGTACCTAGCCACTAGCCTGGCAAGCCAGACTAGTGAACTAGACCAAACTTTGCAAAGCAAGAATTTGGTCTAGTTCACTAGTCTACCTAGCCACGACAAGACAACGTGCAGTTAATGCTTCATAAAAAGAAATGAAGAAAACAGAGAGACGAAAGCACCTGACCTAAAAACAATCTGTAGTAGACAAAATCTAAAGAACATGATCTGTTTCAGTTGGCCATCTACTTTTTATGCTCTCAGCTGATCAGTCTTTGAAAACTACTTGTTTAAGTGTTTTATTATTATTACTTTTATAGATTCAACTGAGACAATGGGACAAACTGTGTCTTTGTGCTGTTAAAATTGATCTAAAGTACTGATTTCTGTTTGCTAAGCTGAGTGTGGCAGCAGAACGCTGGCTCACCCCTTGAGTTTTGCCATAGAATGCCCGAAGAGCTATAAATCAAGATTGCATTAAATGATTACATTCCAGATTTTGCACATAAAAATCTCAGATTTTATTAGAAAAATCAAACGTGCTGAAATTAGGAGCAGGCTTAGCAAAGTGAACTAGACCAAAAACATTATAATTAAAGTTTAAAATAATACATTTAATTAGTCTTGCTTGCCAGGCTAAGCAGAATTAGTTTTAAACAGGAACTTAATTAGTGTTAGTGTGACTTTTAGGGAAAGCAAACACTTCCTTGTGTGTGTTTAAGTGTGAGTGCGTGCAGGCTTCTTCACACCTTGTTGAGTTCCTGCCTCAGAAGGTTCCAGTGCTCAGCGTACGTTTTGCGAAGCTGCTTCTTGTCTCTGATCAGCAGGGTTAGTTTGCTGATGGGGCCGTCCTGCAGCTCCTCAGAGCGCCTCTTCATGATCTGACTGAGAGCCTCCGTCTGTGAGACCAGCACTCCCCATGACTGACACACAAGGGCAAAGGTCACAAATGGAAATCACCATAAACACATGCATATAACGGCATATAAGTTTGTTCATTTCTTATAATAAAAACTGTAAATCTGAGGGGAGAAAAAAAGGATCAGGAGCTGATAAGAATCCATCTTTGGTGCTGTTCTTGCATCCTACTTCTACATTCAGAAACCGAACACAATGCTATAAACACACTGTACTGTGTAACTACATCTACATCCTGGTGACTCACGTGTATTTTTTATACCTGTACATCAACATGATACATCTCATACGTGCTTGACATTTTGAATAATGCATGTAGATGTGCTGATCAGATATTCTGTGACTCTGAAAACCGCACAGATTAAAAATGTACACAGCCGTGCAGCTTCAGTAATGCTGTGCAGCCTGTTAGTGCTGTTATTTGGAACTGAGAACAAATTTAATGTTGAAACTATGAGATGATCTAGGGAGAAATAGGAACAACCAGATGGTGTATTTGCACTTTAAATAAACGTTTACTATTTTCTAGTTGGGATCATTTAGGCCTTTTGAATTTTTTCACTGTACTAAATGACCTCTTTTTCAGAGTGTCTGACCTGTTTGAGTCTTTTCTTTTATTCTGACTGACTCCATCTTTGCGTTGGATGAGTTTGGAGGCAGAGGGAGGCTCACCTTGTTGAGCTGACTGATGTAATCCAATCCCGAGCTGATCTGAGGTCGCTCCATCTTTTCAGCCATGGTGCTCATTTGGTGCAACTGTGCTGAGAAGTCTCGCTCACCCTTGGCCCGCTGACCCATCCACTTCTTTATGACCTCCATTAGATGAAGCTCTGAGTCCAGCAGCCGCAGCACCGCCGCGTGGGCCTGCGGACACCGAAGGTCCTCCCCGAAGCCCATCTCTGGATCGCTGCACACTCCTTCTGCCAGTGAGTTGTCAGCAGTGAACCCTGCTGTGTATTTCTCATGAGAGCAGCAGAGACAAGTGTGGAGAGCTGAAGCAGATGCTCCAATGACCAAGAGCATCTATCTCTCTGTGACCATAAAGAGTTTCACTTCCTTCAGAGCAAAAAGGCTGCAGCGGTTTGTGTGGGACAGCACTTCCTCTCGTCAGTTTGAATGTGGTTCTTCTTTCAATTTACAAACTTTAAACTGTAACTCCTCTGCATGTGTTGTCACCTGACTAAGCCTGTGTTATTACGGAAACACTAACCAGTCAAATGCAGACGCAACAAGATGACTGAGAGCTCAGTTTCTTATCTGCACGTTTTATTGTGACAACTGTTTTTTTTTCTTCAATCAAACAGATTTCACATGTGATCTGTTTGCGTGTGTCTGCATCTGCAAAGCTGAGAGCCAACTACTTCTTGAGCTCAATAGTTGTATTTTAAAACCCCTTCTGGAAGAACTGATAACTACCATATAAATCTACAGAGATGCATCATTTTAATACAAGATATTCTCATATAATGATTAATAAACCACTTTATTTGTGAAAAACAAAATAGATTTACCATGAATAGTTAACACATTCATACATTTTTGCATTTAATAATGAGGGTAAAAACATTGAGAAAGCCATTATTGATTATTGTAGTTTTTTTTTATTTGATATAACTTCATTTCATTCTCATGGTAAGCTAATAGAGATGTTTGAAAAGCTAATGGGAATCTAATTAGTTTCATTTTGACAGCTTCTAAAAGACCGAAATTGTGATTTTGAGGAAACTCCAGGAGGTTTGAAATGAAACTATCCCGAAGTGACATTTATAAAAAAAGATTTGGATTTAAATTGGTGTTTTGATGAGACAGACTGCAGCCCAGAGAGCAAATTATACAAAGATTTAAAAGTTGAATCAAACCTGACAAGGGCTGATGACAAAGCGATGAAATAACGGAGTCTGCTTTTACACTTTGATGTTTGTGTGAATTTTTGATCATGCCTTAAATCAACAACTTTTGTCTGGACGGAGAATAAATCAAGAAGAATTTAAAGTTTTTAGAAAATTAGAAGAAATTAGTTGAAAGTAAGAAACTCCTGTTTTAAAACTGGACCCATTAGGTCTGATCCTTCAGTCTAAGACTCTAAAATTACACATCTGATGCCATTTATGTGTTTAAATGACGCATGTGTTTTATTACAAATTTAAAGAGCCATCACACACACACACAGAGACTGGTGTGTGGTGAAACTTGTTTTCTGCATTTGATTCATCCCCTGGGGAAGCAGTGAGCTGCAGACACAACCACAATCAAACCCCTTAATGTGGAGGGTCAAGCAGGTATTGCCCCACTGTGGACTTGAACCCACAATCTCTCAATTAGCATACACTCATACCACTTGGCCACTGAGCTATAGCTCTGGTTGAGCACACGTTGGTGTTATTTCTCAGTCATGGGACACAATCAACCTAAAAAGGTCTAAACTGGTGTTTTTTTTTTTTTTTTTACAGAGAAATTTCTAAATTAAGTCCTTAGGCTGAATCTGCAGTGAGGAATGTTCAGACCTACACAAAAGGAAGGCCCAAAACAGAAGAACCAACTCCTCTGATCAAGACTTGGTTAGATTCAACTCAAGGACAGAGGACACTCCTTTGGAGATGATAATGTGCTCATTTTGGCCCTGGTGAGAGAGAAGGGGGTGAAGGAAGCCAGCTAATGTTAAACATGGCAAAAAATCATCACTTACACTTGTGACTCTTTTTGTGTTTGGTGTAAACTCAGTGGTGCAATAACACCGACCACACACCAGCTGAGACAAAATACAGAAAAAAGAAGTTCAAATGCTCTCTGAAGAAAATACAAACAGCAAATATCAGCATTCAGCTTCTAAAACAAGAGTTTGATGTCTAAGAGGAACTGGATGTTTTGAGTTTATAAGGAAACAAACTCAATGATTAACTAGTTTAGTATGATTTTATGGTACAAACAATAAATCAAGTTGTAAACTGCCTGTTGTTTATAGCGCTTTCTTAGGGTTCTACAACCCCCCAAGGCGCTTCACAACACAATCACTCATTCACCCAAACATTCACATGCTGGTGGGGATGAGCTACCATGTAGCCACAACTGGCCTGGGGCACACTGACAGAGGCTGGGCCTGCCAGGCTCTGGCACCACCGGTCCCTCCAACCACCACCAGAAGGCAAGGCAGGTTAAGCGTCTTGCCCAAGGACACAACAGCAGCATTCTCTGGTCAGAGCCAGGATCGAACCTGCAACCTTCTGATTACTGGACGACCCGCTCCACCTCCTGAGCTACTGCCGTCTCTCAAACCAACCAAAACAAAAACTAACCTTCTCGTTTACTTCAGACATCAGTGACAAGCTCCCACTAATGCAGGCTCATAGATGCTGCTGGATAACCCTCCTACATTCCTCTACCTACACCAGTTCTCAAAAATTATCCCAAATTTATGTGATGCATCATCCAGCTGGATGTAGCCATGATCAGATCTGTCCACTCTGGTGATCCTGTTTGAATTGTAGCTTCGGTTTCCTGATAGCTGGCAGACACCCGGTGTGGTCTTCTGTAGCTGGAGTCCATCTGCTGCATGTACCTAATAAAGTGGCTGGTGTTTGCCCTTTATTTTTTACATTGTTTGTCTTTTTAGCTAAATAGAAAAAAAATCTATAATGTTCTATTTCTTAGTCACTGAAATGATTGTGTTTCTTGTTAAAGTATTTTGTATTTATTTGTGTACTTTTAGTGTGTACTTGTTTTATTAGTTTTTCTTATTAAACTTTTTTGATTTTCCTCCTTCTGCTTTAGTAATGCAAACTGCAGCTGAGGGACAAAATCTAATCCAATTACCCAGAGATCAATAAAAAAAGCTCTAAAATGTTCAAACAAATGAAATTCTACTCTTCGCTTATTATGAGGGCAGCCCTTGTATTTACCTGACTTGTCTGCATTTATCTATAAAAACACTTCCAAAAGTGTCTCAGAATGAAACTCAATACATTTTCATAAACTGAAACAAATCTACTCAATGAAATAGTAAATGCATCCCTCATCAAATACAAATGTATAATAAACCTAAGAAAAACAAAAGAACACGGATTTAAATTTGCATAGATCTTTATTTTTAGTAGAATCTATAATTGACATCAATTAAATAAAGAGAAAACAAAAGAAAAAAGATCTTTAAATTACAAGTAAATTACACTGCACCATTCATAGTACAAAAATAGGCCTTATTTTAGAGTTATGTCATTCTTATACATTAATCACAAACCTGTAAGATACTGTGTGCAGCCACAGGTCAGGAACCTCACGAGAGGTTGGGAGGAAGTCAGCGGCTCCACCGACCGCCCCTCCATCACAAAGTGTTTCATGTTTCGACTTTAACGCAGCGATGTGCAGACGCAGATCTGATTCAGCCCTTAAGGTAATGGTGATGGGATACATTCTACCTCCACACAGGACGTCCCCGCAGATCCTCACCAAGGCAGGCGTGACAAACGTTCCAAACAAAAACACTCTGAACCAAAATGAAGGAGGGGACGATGGGACGCACCAACCCAAACGCAACCCCCGCTAGTACGAAACAGACAGCATTAAAATGATTGTCTTTGGTTATGCCAAAGATATTGCTCCTATCAACGACATCTGACTTCACATGGATCCAATCGGGCTACATCCTAAAGCAGGACAGGAGCAACACCGAGCTCCATGTGGGGAAAATAATCAAACATCAAGTCTCCACTGTGACTTGTCTCTCTCTCTAACCAGACGAAACACTTTACAGGTTTCCATTAAAGGCATCACCATTAACAACCAGCCAGTTGGTGGCTTTCTAATAATTAAAAGCTGCTTTCTGGGACAATTAGAGAACCTGTTCTTTTTAGTGTGTGGTTCCCATCCTGTTGTGGCAGCGGGAGCAATGATCTGGCTGCTAATGCTTTTCAGCAGCTTTGGAAGCACAAGCTAATTAATGATGCCTTCGTTCCAGCTTTCCTTTAAAAGTTAAAACCCTTGAATGCAAAATGTTCATCAGCTCAAGGTTTCAAGCTGTAGTGAGTTCATGGAGCTGAGATGTAGAAATCGCTGCGCGTTGCACTAATGAGGCCCCAAAATGGTGTCAGAGAAAACTCTTTTAGCCACGGCTAAAGCGGTGTGTGTGTATGTGTGTGTGTGTGTGTGATATGAACTAGATTGTGTCTTTCATCATAACTCTTCAAAAGCAGAAACGTCTAAGCAGCAAGGTTTTAATTGGAAGTGATTTTGTTGCTTCATCAGCCCATTAAGTGTTGTTTACATACTTCACTCAGAGCTGGGAAGTCAATAAGATTTTGTTGGCTGAAGTTAAACAGGGACTGATCAAAGCTTAAATGGCAGCAGGCACTAATGTATATCAATCAAAGCACTGCAGAACAAACACACAGCAATTAACTTAGGGATGTGCTCTCAGGTTCATAAGCAGCTGCAGAAAAGCAGATGTGCAACACCTGCAGCGGCCATCTGAGGTGAATTCAGCTCCACCGGCTCGATGTTCCACAGCATCCATACCGATCTTCCTCCATCCATTTAAAGGGGACTTATTTTAGCAGATATTGGTTTCACAGTCAGCTCTACTCTTTTTCTAAATGAAGTTTTGCAATTAAAAAAATCACATTCAGATGCATATTAATGAAAACACCCCCTGTGCAGGCTTTGTGACACAAGTGGTTAAATTAGAAGCTAACATTTGATTTGTTTGTGCGCCTCTGCACCTTTTCACCCTTAGAACATGGAAACTGATTGTCAGTGATGAAAAAAAAAAAGATTTAAATTATAGTAGGATACGCCCAAGAAGAGATGGAGAAGAGAAATAAACTAATGTCCCCATCGATTTTCAGTTGATTTAGCGCAAACTTGGTTTTAAAGCGCGGGTGTGACCACGCATGAACGCCGATCGTATCAGGTAATAAATGTAAAAGGAGATCCAGGTTAACAGCTTTTACAATTTCTGAATTACCAATGCGGTTTCTTTTAAAAAATAAACACAGATTCCCCTCAGAAAATATTTAAACTTTCAGACAGAATTTCACCCCTGTAATGATTCGACATCCCCTCCAAGTATGTATGAACTATATGATATGAGAGGTAGATAAAAAGGATGAGCAGCTGCACGTTCCTATGCACGCCATCACCATGACAACCTCTTTTAGCAAGCTCCACTGATTTTGTACAGGAAATAAAATGGAAAGAGGAGTAGAATCAAAATGGATATTACAGATTAAACAAAGCGATGCACGTTTCATACGATAACCAGCCCAAGAGGGAAAGAAAAAAATCTATTCCCTAAAGGTATTATTAAAACCTCTCAGAATAAATCCTTCGCTGCAGTATCATTTGGAGTATAATTGCCAGGACTTGATTATTTGAAATTCAGATTAGATGAAGGATGGAGGATGAGTGCAGAGACACTGATGAGCTGCAGAGCGTCGACATGAGGATTTTAAAAACAATACTCTGGGATTTGAAGGAGAGACGGTGAGATGAAGGGGGTGAAAAAGGAGTCCTCACTTCAAAGGCCAGGTAAATACGGTTTTTTCCATCCTCACAATCCAACAGACACTCACACACATAACTAACATTGAGTCATTACAACGTGTGTTTGTAGTGCTGACGTGCTCCGACAGCAGGGATGCATCGTTACCGTGTGTCTGCTCTGTCAAGAAATCAATCACAGGTAAGTCAACACCTGTCAGCTGCTCTGAGGAGCTCCACAGTCACAAAAACAAGCAGCGTCTCCTCTCAGGCTCAGGAGGTGAGAACATCAGAGGCAGATTAGATATTACCAGAAGGGATTTTGCTTCTGGATTGACCAGGTAGTGCACACCCCCTCTTCCTTTTCTTTTTCGGTTCTCATGAAGTTACAAGTGCAGCCAGAATGAGATCACCTTGAATTAAAGAAAGAAAGATGGATATGATGAAAGCTTTGATAGTTTAGCCACAACACTCTACATTATGTGTGAATTTAAACCAACGAAATTGGAACAATTTCTGTTGAATCTGAACACGATAAAAACTAGGAATCGTTACAATCATGTGAGAGTTCCTGGACACGTTTCATGTGTTACTGTCGCTAAATGACAGTTTGGGAAGAACAAATGTTTCCAAGGGGACGGCGTGTCTCGTAATAAATCATCACTTAGATAAAATACTAAATGACAGTTTGGGAAGAACGAATGTTTCCAAGGGGACGGCGTGTCTCGTAATAAATCATCACTTAGATAAAATACTAAATGACAGTTTGGGAAGAACGAATGTTTCCAAGGGGACGGCGTGTCTCGTAATAAATCATCACTTAGATAAAATACTAAATGACAGGAAATGCTTAAATGTCTTCATGAAGGGAACTCTAACGTTCACTGCTCATCAGACCCAGGCACTCATTTTCATGCAGGCTCATTTATTCAGAAACGCACGCACACACACACACACACACGCACACGCACGCACACACACACGCACGCACGCATGCACGCACGCTCAACAATCTCATCTGGCTACTGCACTGAGACTAATGAAACAGAGAAAAATGTTTAGAAATGAAGCAAATGATCATTTGTTTACTGCAACAAAAAGGAGCCGGAAGGGAAATGGAGTCAGCAGGCAGACGTTCTGTGATTATGGGTAAGAGGAGGAGGAGAGCCACTTAAATAAGAATGCACTGATGTGTGAGGAGGGCAAAGCTCAGGACATCCCCAGCTGTGACGAGCAGCAGCTTCCCGACAGGTCTCCCACAGCAGAGAGGGAGGCCAGTTCCTACGACAGAAAGCAGCTGAAAATCTGATGAGAGCCAAACAAATAACAAAATTGTGAGGGACAAATACCAAAAGCCCTGAATCGTCAGACAAATGGGAGCAGAGAATTTAAAAAGCAGGAGGAAGGACGCGTGGAGGCATTAAAGAGCACTTTGTGTTTTGATAAAGGCAGTCCTCTCATTTTGGACGTCGAACTCTTCGTTCTCCGAGTCAGTGTTCATCCCGTCGTCCCCCCACATGGTCGGGATGCCGCGGTATGACACCAACCTATTTTGCCCCAGGATGAAGCCGCCGCCAGCCTCCAACGAGGGCAGCTTGATGTGAGCGCCGGAGCGAATCTGCAGTAGCAGGAAGACACCAGCGAAGGTGGCGATGATAGCCACGCAGCTTAGCACAGCGACGGTGATGTGCAGTTGGGAGTCGAGCTCGCCCTGAGGTCTCTGGTTCCCCGGGCTCCCAGGAGACTCGCGCATGTAATGGTTGAGGTGCAGGCAGGTGCCAGAGTTCTGGTCCAGGGAGCTGTGAGGGGGACAGGACAGGCAGGACTGTGGGCTGAGGCTGCTGCAGGTGACGCAGGGCGCTGGGCAGGGCAGGCATGCTGGGACGGAAGCTGGGAGCACGGCGTTCCCTACGGTGTAGTTGAGAGGCTGGGAGCCCACCGCAAAGCCTGCAGGACATTCTTTCACACAGCTCTGATGAAAGAGGTAGTAGCCGGCGTTGCACTCTGCAGCAAAGAGAAACAGAGAATGATCAGCTGTAAATACCGCTTACCTCTTTGTATGAGTCAGAAGTGCCAAAAACAAGGAACCAGGCTTTTCCCCAAATAGACCAGGCTCGGACAGAACCACTAGAACAGCAACTCCTGTCAATTGTGTTTTAGCTTGTACAAGGTTATTTCCAACGTGCTATTTGCTGAAAATACACCATCATCATAAAATGCATCTACATTGTCCTCTGTAGATTTTTTCTTTACGGACACTTTTTTTCTATTCCACTTTCCTAAGTTTTAGTCACACTGAACACTAATCTGTCACGGTCAGGTACGAGAGCTGGACAAACGCAGCCCAAGGCAAAAGAAAATATTGAAAAAAACTTGAGAGAGTCTGAGACACTGAGAAGAGTGGTCATAACTTCATGAGCAGCCTATTAGGCTCTGCACTCATTTTTTTAGGAGCAAAACATGAAGACAGCCAAAATGAGCCCCTAGTCAGAGGACGTGATGTTCCTGTGATGCACAATTATCATAAAGTGTGAGATGATAATCAAATACATGATAATTACATTCAGTTAGCTTCTGAATGTGTGAAGGTGTAAGAGCCCATGGCAGCCTGTAGGGGTCAGACTGCCACTGTTTCAGGTGTTCAGTGCCAACTTTAGACCTTGCCTGGAGCTAATATCTGTATGAGGTGGCAGAAGCAGCGTAGAGACCCTTGAATCAAAACAAGATTACTTTAAAAAAGCCCTGAGGTCAAGATTATTTCATCTCTTCAGATTTTAGCTCTTTTTATTTTAAACCGATACTTGTGTGGAGGTTGTCTGCTGTCGCGAGAGCGGTTTCTCTGTAGAGTGAATGACTTGTCAAGGCTCACAATGCAAACAGGTGCAGCTGAGCAATCATCATCAAATTTCATGGTTTTCAAAGCAGTCAAGCTTCTTTATGTGTCATCCTCCCTCTGACTGCTGCCACTTCCTGTACGGAACTAACTGGAGTGCAGAGCTGCCGGTCTTACCGATGCACTTCACACTCAGATCCAAAGTCTTGCAGCTGTCGTTGCTGGACTGAGACTCCTCAGAGGAGCTGGAAGATGTGGAGCCGGTGCCGTAAAGCACCAGGCTAAACTGTGTCAGAGTGCCTAAAAGGAGAGATGGGAAGGAAAAGAGAAATTAGAAGCAAGCCTGTCAAAAACGTTAACGCTCTGCCACTCCCAGAGGATTTTGTTAAACAACTCTCTCTGACAGAAGATATCGGAGATATCAGATTGAAATTTAGATGCAGCAAAACACCATTCTTGGGCTCTCTTGAGTTATTAAACGCACATGTTCCAAAACCATTCCAGCTCCGGGTCTTGTAAATAAAGCCCCGTGGAGGTTGGGTATGTGCAAAGCTAACTCAGATCTCTTCTATCGCCTCTTCCTGGCTGAAGTACTGCAGTGTGGGAGGAGCTCAGGTATGATCCAAGGGCAAGCTAAAAGGATGCTTCTCACAACAACCCTTGTTGTCTAGTGTCCTCCTTCCTGTCATGACCCAGAAACTCTTCCCTCTTCCTCAGCCAAACTTTTAATGATAAATGACGCGCACTTGTATAGCGCCTCTCAGAGTAAGGACTCCAAAGCGCTTTACACTACAGTGTATCATTCATCCATTCACACACACATTCACACACTAATCCCTTGAGAATAAGTTCTGGTTTTCTTGCTGAGACGAAGCATCAAAAAATTGAAAAGCACATGAACAATTCTGATAAATAGGAAAACGAAATGCTGCAAAGCATTACAGACTCAACTCCTTCAAAGAGAGTAAAGACGCTTGATCTCTAATCTCTCTGATCTGACTGAATCTTTGAGCTGAAGCTGAAGAGCAGACCCAACAGATTTCAATCAGATCCTAAAGGAAAAATAAAGTTTCCCTGGACTCATGATTTACATTTTTACCTTCATATAAAACAGAAGGCTGAATAAAAATGAACAAACGCAGAGTACAAGGTGCTTTACCGTAGTCACTGGTTGTAGCTACGTTCTCGATCACCAGCGTCCACACCCCGTTGGGGTTCTCGTCCCAGGAGTGGGTGGTCATGAAGGCCCAGTCATTGAACCCCTCTGAGGAGTAGTCGTGAGGCCTGCAGGAGACAAAACAAGCTGGAGTGTAAAGACACCTAACTAACATGCGGCGCCCATGAGCTCGTTCGTGTAGTGTTTATACCGAGGGTGGAGGAGGGTGGAGCGTGTGCCGGCAGGACTTATGAGGTGGATGGCTAGGTTCCCCCTCCGGTTGTAGGTCAGGGTGAGCCGGGCCTGGACGTGCTCTAGTGAAGTCACACAACTGTCTGACCCGGTGCAGGCATCCACAGTCTTATTGATAATTAAACCGCTGCCGATGTTCCTGTAAAACATCCTTCATCAGTCTGCTGAAATAGGATTTTGTTTCCAATTTGGTGGATAAAGTCAGGAAACTGTGTGACATTTTGCTCCGGGCCACAGCGGGAGTCTTCTAAAGGTGGAGAGTTTCTAACGCAGACATGGATTAGCGCTTCACAACCTGTGGCTCCGCTGATCCTGGACGAGTAAATCAGCCAGCCTTTCTTTACTTCACCTCAAATCCTCTTAGCAGATTACACACATCCAGAACAATTCCAAGACGAAGGACGGCGTGGAGGTTTAGTTACACAGATGTGCTTAAATCCCAAAACCAGGCGGGTTCAGCTAGTCCAGATTTAGTTCAAACCGCTATGGTGTTGCAGGAACACCTATAGAAAACACTTCTGACCCATGAAGCAGCCTCAAACACAATAAGTCATCTAGAAGACTTACTTTAATTATTTTGACATAAAACCGACTTCTCAACTTGACATAAAAATCCAAACTGATGTCTCCATTGAACGTTTGCGCCACATATATTTTCATGGTAATTGGTGGTGCCACTGAGAAGGAAACGGAAACGTATATAACATGCTGCTGGGGTTGGTTTGTCTGGGTCAATGTGGTGCATGAAACTGGGATTTAAAAAATGGAGGGAGGAAAACGTGGCACGCTGTTGTAGATGTGGGAACGGTTTAGAAAACGCTCAGAAAAATAGCGCAGAGATCTCCAGCAGATCTGTTCAACACCAACAAGGAAAGGAATGAGCATCCATTTATCAGACTGCTCCCAAAATATTCATTTTAATGTTATAATTTATTTGACTATTTTCTTTCTTTTTCTGTGAATCGGGCTGATTAGACTACAGATTCCTGCTGTGAACATTTATAATCTAAAGATGCATTTGTGTCATGTATACACCAACTGAACTTCTGTCTCCCTCTTCTGCCACAGAGAGTAATTACACCGTTGATGAGCGGCGTGCGGATCAGCTGTACAACCATGATGGAAGTAGAAACACTATGCCATTACAGATGACCAGTGATGAGTTGTATTAGGCAGCAGAGACACACTATGTAGCTGACGGAAGAGGAAAAACCGAGCGTTTGTTCACATTTTAGGTTCCAATCCATAAACCTACTTTATGAAGCTAAAATGCTCTGGAGCCAAAAATCTATGTTTTCATTAATAAAATAACTGCACAGATTTCTCTTTCCCCAACGGTGCAGCATCAACCTTAAACGAGGCCAAATTACCCGTGATGTATATTCAGGTTTATTTCACCTAAAGCCTAAATAAATGATTTACTGTGAGCCTGGTGAGTTAAAGTGGATTCATAAAGAAAGGAAAATATTTCTCTACATGTTTTTTTTTGTTTGCAACGATAATTTGTGCAACGTAAGTTTAATTTTCATGATAATAAAGTGCACGCCCGTCACATTCAGAAGGTAAGAAATCTGGCTTATAACGTTTTGTGTGTGTGTGTGTGTGTGTGTGTGTGTGTGTGTGTGTGTGTGTGTGTGTCTGTGTGTGTCTGTGTGTGTGTGTGTGTGTGTGTGTGTGTGTGTGTGTGTGTGTGTGTGTGTGTGTGTGTGTGTGTGTGTGTGTGTGTGTGTGTGTGCTGTTTATTCTGTTAGATAAATGATCACAGGAGATCCTCTCCCTCTTCTTGTTTTGACAGAATCAATTTTTCCAACTAAAAGCAGAGTTGGCCCTAATGATAAATTTCAGATCAGCTGCAGTCACTCTAAAATTCCTAAATGAGTCGATTGATATCACTTTAAGCCTTATTTATTATTTTACTATTATGCAAATGAATGTCTGTGTTCACAATAAATCACTGTAACTGAGAGCCAAACAATGAATAACAGCCATTTAAACTATTCTAGCACTGATCGCCAGTATGATCTGTTAATTAGATGATCCCTTCTTAAGGGGAGGCAACAATAAATAAAAAAACCCTCCTGCTCACCTTTAACAAGTCACTCTTCATTATCAGACCAGCTAAAATCCAAAAATGTAAATTGAATAACCTGCCTTGACTGCAGCTCCCAGACGCTGGAGCCATCTGCTCCGAGCGTCTGGAAGCTGCAGTAAAAGAGACAAACCTCAAACCCAGGGAGACAAGTGACAGGGAGTGCATAATGAAGAGGAGACGTCAGACACACTTTCGACTCTGACAACAGAACAAGGAGGGAGAAAATGGCTGAGAGGTGAGGCTTACAGTAAAGTAACGGCAGGTGTTTTAACAGACACCAGCAGGCTGATGAAGCAGTAACATCACACTAAAATCAGGCCATGCTTGATACCATTCCTACAGACCACACTAACTGGATGAAACTACATGTTTATGCATAATAGTCACTTCTCAGTGTGACTGTGTAGCTTTTTGAACATGAACTCTGATGTTTTCTAGACCTTCTTCAGCAAGGCAGCACGAGGGAATCAAACTAACACCAGGCTTTGTGTAGAACATCACAAGTTATTGCAAAAAATTGACCGGTGTGTGAATTCACATACGGAAGATAAAGGCTCCAGTCTCGTACTGACCTTGGCTCACTGAGCATGGGGATAACATATTTCCTCTGTGGCCCCACGTTGGTCCATGTACTTGCCAGTGATACGATTGCACTGGCATCAAGCAGACCATATCCATACGAATGACTAACTGCAGAAACAAAAGAAAAAGAAACATGAAAGTCGGTCTGCTAATGGAGCGTCGGCTTTCTATTTACAGGCTTGACTCAAACTTCCTAAAGACAGCACCTCTTGTTTGGTATAAACTATTTAGTTCATAATCGCTTCCTGGAGAGAGCAGAAAAAAACCCAACAAAAAATAAATTTGGAAAATTTGTCGTGCCTTTGCGTCCAACACCATTGGTTTTCCAGTCAATTGTGAGCAGGTGAGCAGGACGAGAAGTTCGTACAACCAGATGTTGCATGTCCCTCCAGGTAAGGTTTTTACTGGAACGTGCAAACACAGAAACAGAAAAACACACACAGTCACATAAAACGAAACACACACATGGTAAGGATCAGGGTTGTGAATCAAGCTGAGCCACTAAAACAGATCAAAGAGGTGCCTTTGACAATACGTGTTGCAGTTTTAACCTGCAGGTGGACGGATAATTAAAACAATGACGTTTTAGTCTAATCCTTCCCTGCGTTCATTAAACCTTCAGTCAGCACATGTTTCATGTTCATTTCTGCCCTTTGGTGAAACGTTTAGAGCAGAGAACTTCTAACCAGGAACTTCTATTGCAGCAATGAAGAATAAAAAACAGCCCATCAGTCACCAACTCCATACAAACTCTATTCATTATGACTTCCTTGAGAATTTATTAAAGAAAATATATTCTATGAAGCATCTTTACTTTAAACTTCCTACATCAAACTCAGTCCTAATTGCAAACGTTTTGTCTCTGCTGCAGAACTAATTACTCATTTTCAGGGCCATGTTACATCTCTTCTTTTTTTTGTCTCTCCATTAGTGCCGTGTGACCAGATAAGAATGATTAGTGCTCAGAGTTCTTTATAAAAGCACAATCTGAATATGAGGCGAAGAGGTTGAAAAACATTATGCTGAAAAAGTGGAATAATCGAGCTAAGTCACTGTGAAAACCAGCAATTTATGACCATTACAAGTGCAACAAAAATGTTTGAATATATTACAATCTAAAAACAAATACCGTTTTAAATCTATGTGCTGATAACAGGTACACATTAATTCAACCGGCTCTGAATTCTGAATATTTAATCTTTTATTTATTTATTTTTACAAAATATTAACTGCAAGGCCTAATGAGGTTTTTTTTTACATGTTTTCCAGCAGTTATCTGGATTTACCGAATAACACTGATGTAAATAAGTAGACAAGAAAATGAGGCAGTGCAGCTGAAGAGCAATGCAAGGCCGAAAAACGGTGATAAGCTCTTACTTTGCTTCAAGGGCGAGAGCGATGATCCCAGCAGCCAGCGGGGCTGAGGCTGATGTGCCCGTGTGGGTGTCCGTGCATTTAGATTTGAGGTCTGTAGTCACCTAAGGAAGATCAGCACACAGAGCTTTAGTCCAACTTTATTCCTTTCTATATTCATCAAAAACTTACAGAAGGGTTCTATAAAAAATAGCACTGATGTCCCAAACCGGTCGTTTTACTAGCAAAACCCCTAATTGTCTTTCATTCTCTCATTTGTTAACTTGCAAAATGCAGAAATCACCCGCTGGGTTAAGAAAATCCAGTAAAAGAAATCACATCATCTTTTTGACAACAATATTTTTTAAAGACAGAATGGCTTCAGGAGGAAACTCCTAAATGATCCACAGCAGCAGGCTTTGGTTTCACAGGGCAGCTCACAGATGTGAATCTCTCCTGCTGCATGAATGAGAGGCAAGTTGGTGCAGAGCCAGAAGATTTGTGCAATGAAAACCAATTCCAAACTCTGCCTTGTGAAAAACATTACAGTCCAACTGAACCATCTAGAAGATCAGGTCGGCGTGCAACACTGCATTACGATGCAGCAAAAAAGTACTAAAGATCTGAAATGTTAACTAGTGCAGAACCTACGGTAGAGAAGGATCTTTTAAATGATTATTAGATTTAAGGACCATCAGGAGCATTTTTCTATGTTTAAACAATTCGACTGAACAAATTTTATGAGTAAAGACATTGAGATGTTCTTCTCTTACTTGTCGATCTCGGCTTCACGAGTGACATCCTAATTAAACGAGTACATCACAGAGGCAATTAAAGGTCCAGCCATACGTCACAGAGATGTCATAAACTGCCTGTCGTGCTGCTACGCTGTGTGTGTGTGCATGTGTGTGCGCGTGCGTGCGTGCGTAAAGGAAAGATTTAGCGCTTGTGACGGGAATGTTAAGCAGCAACAGATTTGTTAGATGGAGCTCCAGCCGTTCCCTTTTCATAATCATTTTAATGACCCAAAACAGCTTAAATTGTAGAGACTGGAGAAAAGTCATGATGGGATTCAGTCAACATTTGTTTCAGTTTGTAAAACATTGAAAATAAATCTTTTTGGGTTCAAAAATAAAATGTAAGCACATCTTTTAACTGTTTAGATCATTTAACCTAAACTTGCTCATTCGTCCACTGATTCAGCCTGGCAGAGTCAACCTTCTCCAGCCGCCTCCTGCTTTTCTGTAGGGATCACTGAGGCATTACCAATCCAGTCAACAGATACAATCTGTCTGGTGTGCTTCCTGTCAGACAAATCAGACACTCCAAACTAGAGAGGCATCCAGGAGGCATTTTTAATGAACCTCCTTAAAAGTCTCCTTTAAATGTGGAGGAGCAACAAACTCTCCTTTGAACTTTTCCCTCTAAACGGTTTTGCTTCACAATCACCTCTTAGAGGATGTCTAAGGAGCCACTTTTCCTCACCCATGAACAGGATGCATGTATTCTTGACCTAATAACTCCATCAGATTCTTAACTTCAATTCATCTAATTTTTGTAGTTTTATTCTTGTGATTAAATTGTTTTAGAATAATAAGCTGCATCAAACTGGCTATAAAATGTACTAAAATCTTTTTGCTTCATTTACATATAAACTGAAATAAAACGTGTTCAACTTGCAGACTTGGATGGTTTTAAAGGCTGCAGCTCCACTAAACCATCCAGAAACATACTGAAGCCATCTCTGACTGAGCACAGACATGAAGGGTGAAACTCCCGGTGAAAGCCAGAGCTTTGTGTGAGTGAAACAAGAAAAGGCAGACAAAGACAGAGAGGACACGGCACACAGCCACAACTCACTATCTGTTTCTCATTAAGGCCCCCCGAGCTGTAGGTGGTGGCGAGGGTGGAGGAGCAAGCCTCGCTGTACCAAGGGACGTTGCCGTTTTGTGTGGTGCTGCTGATGGACAGGGTGTAAATGCTGTTGGTGTAGCCGTCGCAGTTACAGCTGTCTTTCTCTCTTCCTCCATTACCAGAAGCCCACACAAAGATGGAGCCCAAACCGCCACGACCCTGGAGAGAGAGAGAGAGAAGCACGTTGACACAAACGGGGGGAGGCCAACACACTTCCTTTCATTTAATTATGGCACAGAGCAACAGGATACAGACAAGAACAAAATCTCATTCAATCTTTAATAGGAATCCCAATTATAAAGGGGCAAATTCATTCCAGGGTTCCTTTCAGAAAGGCCCCATTAAAACCCAGCATACATCACAGAGGCCTGGGTGGTCACTCAGTAAATTGCAAAGAGCTAAATATTACATGACAGCAGAGCAAAACGAAAAGGATCAAAATGACAACAGCTCGTTGTAATAAATCATCCAGCCCGTCAGCTTTTGAAGTGCAATAATTTCCATCTAAGAGCTGCTTTAGTGTATTGAGTGGCACCATCTCTCTTTGTGCACTGATCAATTCCAGCGACGCACCACCCAACCACTATCCGACAGCGCTGTCACCGTGCCAATTATCTTAGTAGTCAGCGTCAGCGGTTCCAATCAACTTTATGGCACAAGCCTCGAATCCTGCAGCTCTACAAGCGCCGGCGCTCTTCCGATCAAGTGCTTTTAAGGAGGAGCAGATGTGACAGTTAGGGGTGTAATCTGGATCTTTAATCTGTTGATTTGCACATTTCTCATGTGGTCCTGTTGTGCCAAATCAAAAATGCAGCCATCGACAGCAGAACTGTTGACGTGGCACTCTGCTTCCTTTCTTCTTTAATATTCAGACTGTCATGCTGTCAGAAGCCGACGACTATTTAAAAAATTCATCTATAAAATCTCTGACTGTACCTGCATATAGACAGGCCTTTGATTGGAAATGTTTATAATTAAAAGCTGCCATAAATGCTTAACTGGAATTTTTAGAAAGCACCTAGAATAAAATAAATATGGTGGATAAAATAACTTGAAAGAGTTGCCCTTCAGCTAAACAAAATGTTTTGTGAAAAAAAGAGAGAGAAATGAATAATTTTAACCAGAGTTGCTTCCATTCATTTTCCCACATTTTCATCCCTGGTGGCGTTTAGAGGACATTACTTCCCATTCATAATTGTCAGGGTCAAAAACTGCTTTGTTCTGCCCACCGGTGTTCTCTCACGCCTGAACAGTTCAATTACTTACTGCTGAAAGGAAGCAACACACGGGCAGTAAATAATTCTGTCCTGCACAGACCATCTCACAATTACACACCCACCTCGGTGACTCCGCGCAGAAAGGCTTCCTTGGCCAGTTTGGCGGGTCCATCCACTGTTTTACCATCGTCCTCCGGGCCCCAACTAGCGCTGTAGATGTCGATGTGTTGGGGGTTCAGACTGAGGGACTGGGCCTCCACCATGTCTGTCACTTCTCCATCCAGCATGCGCACACCTGCAGCCCAAACACACAAATCAGAACCAGTCTAGACTGGAAACCATCAGCTGTTGTGGGGGGGTGGGGGGCGAACTTCACAGGGGGGGAAGTGGGGTTTCATCCGTGTTTTTACATATTTGTTATGCGGGCTGTACTGGTGTGATTCTGATGTCTTCTCAGTGGCGCAGAGCCGCTGATCATCTTCTGTGCAAGCTCTGTGATATTACTGTCGACCCAAGCATATAATTCAAACAGTATCTTTATTGATTTTCTTCTGTGGTTGAGTTGGTTGTTAAAAAAAAGAAGGAAGGAATGAGATGAGTGGAATTGTGGGTGAACCATCTCCTCAAGTAAAGCAGACCCTCTGAGACTAAAAATTCATCTAAGGGATGAAGGAAAATATTACTTTGATTCCTTTGGATAAAATTAGCACAGCTCTGAGCGTAATGAGGATCAGACACTCTTGATTTTTAGAGATCTGAATGATTCACCCAATGCTTCAACTGAAGCCCTTTTATAAGGAGAATAAAGGTGACAGCAGACACGGGCATTTTCTGAGAAAAACAAGAACAGGTTTTAAGTTTGTGTCTAAAATATTTCCTTCAGTAAACACTGACAAAATTTCAATCACTCACTTTAAGACTTTTTTTTTTATTTCTTCCTGACACTTCTATCAAATAGCTGCCTAAAGATGCACACACGGAGCCATCAGCCTGTTTAATCTACACCGTTGCAGCTTTCGGTTTGACATTTTTCCTGCTCTGAACTCTAAAAGGCATCTTTGCACTTGCTTGCTTTCATTTTCGCATAAGAGGATTTTGCTACGTTTATCTGATGAGCAAATGTTTTGTGCTTAATTTTATGTCTGACTCATTTCAGCTCCACCTGCTACACAAAGTTGTCTGCTTAATAGAAAACACAGTAGGACATGTCGACTAAGAGTATACAAAAACAACTTAAATGTGTTCGTTTTTTTTGTCACCTTAATAAAGCCAAAGGCATTTTCTGCTGCTGTCAGAGAAAATGAACGATGAAATTTCATTTGCTAAAGTGAAACCATTCACTATCCAGAATGTTTAATCTCAACAGGAGTTGAATCACTTCAAAACAACAGAATTATGCAGCGACTCCCCTCCAAAATGTGCATTACAACTATTTAACTTGAGCCCGTCTGAGCAGATAAAAAAAAAGATCTGGACAGTTGTTTTGCCTTCAACAAACCAGACAGACACGATTAAATTTGCAGAGTGGTTATTAAATTGCTGTCTCTACCTTGTGCTGCAAGACTAACAGCAGAGTGAAGAGACAAATATGTTTCTTAGGTGCATGTGAAATTTAATGTTCCCATCACAAGAATTTTTATACAAAGTCAATCCTCTTGAAGCATTTTAACTGTGATTTTAGCTAAAATAAAGACAGAAAAGTGTAAGAGACTGATAATCTATGTGCATGTCTCTGGTGTTGGTTTGTTATTTTAAATGTTTGTCCTTTCAGCAGATAGACAGCAGAAGGTACAGAATGAGTTAGAAACTGGGAACACCACGTTTGACACTAAATTAAAGCAGACCCGAATCAAAGCTCTATGTCATTTCACCGATTGCATTTCAGAGCTGTTACTGAATGCAAAACCAATATATTTGCAGCAGACTGCCAATTCACACAACGGTAGTAATACTTAAAAAGATTTAGCGGCATGCTGCTCCCAAGAAATAGACTGAAAATAACGCAGGCACTGCAGGACCTGTATTTCATTAGACTATTTGACTCTTCTGTCAGTTAAAAAAGATTTCCCTCTGCAAGAACAAATCATTCATCCATGCCGCACCTCCAATCTTTGCATTGTAAGCCACGCCAACTCCGCAGATCCCATTGTTGGCCACTGCCGCCACTTCTCCTGCACATCGCGTTCCGTGCCTGGAAAAGAGAAGGAATATGAAAAAGTCAGAGGGAAACTCTTTTTCCTTGTACGCACCGTCCACCTATTGACACAGCCTTTCACTGTGCCCACAGGTGGGTAGATGTTTATTAAAAGTTGAAAGGATGATTATTGATTTCCCTGTGGCCAACATGTAGAGTGAGACAATGCAAATACACAGAGACAGGTTCTTGGCCCTGATGCCTTAAAACAAACAAATTTGTCAATGAACACAATCCATTGTGCATTATCATCAGCTATGCAGCATTAGAAAACCTGGAATGCCTGAAGTGTGTGTAAAAGCAAGAGAGAAGGGAAATGAGATGTTGTATTACTATAATAAATTAAACATGAGCCCCTGTGGTTAGGTTTAGCTCCAGGCACCACGGTGTGCAGATCCAAAAAGCTGCTTTAGAGGGGCAGATGATCACATTCCAGTCAGGTGTGCTACCTTTGCCTGCCAGACATGCACCCTCAATGCCCCCTCAAACCCTAGCACAGTCCCTCTGGATGGCAGCCATTCCTAGACTGGAACAACTCATTACAACAGAAGGAACCATCTGAGCCTGCAGGCCTCTACTGAGGCAGAGAGACTATCCAAGACAAAAAATTAAACACTATAACAGCAGCCAACATCCTTTGCTGATAAATAATGTTAAGTTGTGGACATTTAGCACAGCCTGCCAACAGTTCTACTACTGGTTATTACTCAGCAGTAAATGGTGTTGCCAAAGGACTGTCGAAATGAAAAAATGACAGAAGGGGCACAGGTCTTGGGAGGTATAACCCATCTGATGCTTCTAATTAAAAATCAAGACCTGCTTTTATTGAAGCCTCCACCCATGGACAGAAGGTCACAGAACAGTTACTTATTTGCCATTCTCTGGGGATCTCCAAAAGGGCAAAGGTTAATGCCAATGCCACAATCAACAAGCGGTGCCACGTCTCCTGTACGTCACAGGGTGGTGTTGGGATGGAGTAGTGGACATGTTGGAGCATGTCTCTTTAGAAAACAAACAAAACAACACTCACATACAGATGTCACCGAGTCATTTTTCCACTGAAGCCTGTCACAACATTCCTGGAAGCACTAGTCCGCTGACTTTGGGAGTATTACGTTATGCATCCGTGTTTGTGATGCAAACGATAAGCAGAAGCTGAGGTGTCTGCAATGAGATGCCAGGCATGCATAGACTGATCCTTCCTTCTGTGGTCAGCTAAATCTTTTTCAAATATGTCTCCTGATTTATTCACTACATTAATTTACACGGTAATACACGATTGGGGAAACTGAGGTAAAGCTCTTGGCTCTGATTTTGCTACTGCTTATTATGTCAAATTTTGGAGCAATTTTCACAGAATTGGTAAAATGTATGAACAATTCTTCCACGTTCTCCCAATCCATGTTAAAAAGCAATAGAAGTACGAGTGGTGGTGCATCTGATGGTAAAGGACTTTTTAAACTCAAGAGTTAAATGTCCGATACCGAGGGGTTGCTATTGTAGTGTTTTAGGTTTTAGGTGAATTAAACTAGTTTTTTTAAAGTTTCTAACATTTATTTGAGCCTACAAGTTTTCAGTGTTGTAAATTTTGGTTAGAAACTTTTAACTAAAATGTACAGTGAATACAGTAAAAGTTGTTTATTCAAAAACCGAGAGAGCATTGTACTGGAAAGTAGTGGTTTCATCTGATAAACTAGTCAGACTCAGGAACTATTCAGATTCTCATTCCGTGAATCCCCATGTGATTTAGTTGTCTAAGGAGCTTTGGATGACGACTCTAGAATCATCAGACTGAACAAGAACAGTTCAGGGAGCGAAGAATGTCTTTCACACATGGATTCACAACCTAAACCTGACTAGGAGTCTTAAGGATGTGCTGGAAGAAAAATTTCACTTCAGTCTGACTGAAACACACATAAACGCACACACACGCACGCAGACACACACACACACACACACACACACACACTTTTTAAAAGTCAGAATTTTATCATAATTTACAATTATTTTAACTAGTTTGCTTTTTTATTTATTGTACATTTCTTAGGAATGCAAAAACACATCTGCCATCAAAGCATTTACATACAAAAATCTGATTTGAACTAATTAACACAAAATAACATCTGAACAAATTATCATTCTTTTATGCAACTTTGAAGTAGTGTAACGTATCACTTCTTCATCAACAGCATAACACTGGTAGCCTGGCAAGCCAGATTAGTCTGGCAACGCTCCATTGACGGCTCTCGGTTGTGGGGCGGGTTCTACCGTTGTCTTTCAAATGATCTCCGCATTCCACTGGACAAAGAATGTGACATCCTCTTGTTTCACTCTGTTGCATCATCCCACCCACCAGACATATAGAGTGCCCTGATTGGCCCACAAAGCGGATAAAGCTCTGTCATTTGTTCACTAAGCAGATAGAGCACTATGATTGGCCCACCATTATGCACCAATCACAGCTCTTTATGTGTTTGAAACCCCTCTAGAGAGCTGTGATTGGCCAGCCAGAATGCTGTTAGGGGCTGCAGAGGTTCCAGTGGAGTGTTCCTAGACCAAACTTTGCAAAGCAAGAATTTGGTCTAGTTCACTAGGCTATAACACTAGTTGAAGTGGCTGAGAATAAAATTGTGAAAATGTGTATGTTTGACTATTGCATTAACATCATTCATTCAGAAATCAGAAATACCCAAATATCAAAATTATTCACATTTAATCACAACAGAAACACAAATGTGTAAACCACACAGCATTATTTATGGTGACAGTAAAATCTGGTGTTTGTGAGCAAACAGGTGCTAATAATGCTAATGTAGCAACGCAGCTAGCTCTTAGCAGAAATGCAGAGTAAATTCCCATCTCCCAGTGAAGCCACGTTAGCTGAATGAAACTAGAGACATCATGAAGTTGACATGAAGTTGACATGACTTTACTCCACACACAACTCAGCTATGATCAGGCTTATCTTGTGTCACATTTAAAATAGTACAAGTGGAAAAAGATCCATGAACCTGCTGCTCTCAGGCTTTCTGACAGAGCGTGGCCTACAGACAAATCTAGTTTTTCTGCTTTGGCAGATTAACAAATTCAGACCACTGAGAATCTAAACTGGCTAAGAGGCATGCTGTGATACTGCATAATATAAGCCTAATGAATCGATACCTGGGAAATGCAAGCTATAATGGGAGCTAAACATGTTCCAACAAAATATTAAGAGTATGCCAATTTTAATTTTCCTTTTTTTTTGTGGCCAACCAGTGTGAACTACTGGATGTAAAATCACTGGAAATAAAAACAAGAGATGGTTTAGAGATCCAGACAGGATTTCCAATGGAGCTGGAAAACACTTCCATCACAGTGTGTGTGCGTGCATGTGTGTGTGTGTGTGTGGGGGGGGGGGGGGGGGCTTGGGGGGTAATCTGGCAAAACTGTACAAGGAATTGATGCAAAATCTCCCACCGATTTAGAATTCAGTGAGTGAAGGCCACAGCAGGTGATTCATATAACTTCCATTAGAAAACCATTCACTCACTGTGACGTGCAAAGAGTGGCAAGTTTGGACTTAATGCTACCTTCAGGACAGATGTGTTTTAATGTTTTAAAACAAAAAATACACCGTTTTAATACCATAAAATCACCTTAAACTTAACAGACCCTTAGATTGTTTTGTCATCTGTCTAGGAAATGAAAGTAGTGCTAATAGCTTCAATACTTCACAACCAAAACTGCTAAAATTAGAACATCTCTATATCTTCTTAGAAGCTAATGCCCATCATCAGCAGTCTAAGGATATCCTAAGGAATTAATTGCCTTAATTTCTATTGTTCTGCAGAGCTGATAAAACTGACATTATTATGGAGCAAAGCCTGGATTTGATCCTCAGGCTGAAGGCTAATAAGAGAAAAGGCTAAAGAGGTGACAGCAAAGCACAGGAGACCGTGACAGGAAGTGCTGCAGTAAAACAGAAGCTGTCTGCAGGAATAATAGGCTCTTCATTCAGATGAAACAACGTTCCATCAGCTGTTGAACAAGGTGTATCTGTTAATTAAAACTTCTGTAAAACATGACAGGAGGCTTCACTTAAACAAAAAGATTATTTCTGATCAGATTTGCTCAACTTTCAGCACTTTTGCTGCTTACTCTTCCTCATAGAATATATTTTCTGAATTTGTTGTACAGAGTTGTGGCTTGTTTTTAGGAGACCATCCACATCACTTACTCTAAAACTTAATATTTTGTTTCTTTAAAGCAAAAGTTAGAAAAAAGCCTAATTATCTGTGGAAGAATGTTTTTGAGCTTTCAACAAACCAAACCTAATGATGCAATTAGTGTGTAGTAAGTAAGTAAGTAAGTAAGTACATTTTATTTATATAGCACTTATCACATGTCTGTCATGTCAGAGTCGGGGGCAGTGTGGATGCCCCCGACTCTGACATGCCAGCATGATGTAAAACTATTCGACTGGAAGGTGCACAGTCCTTCTTTTTATAGCACAAGCTTTTTAACACTTAAATATGTTAAAGAAAAAATCTATTTGGCCCTTAAACATTTGTGCCACATATTCTTCTCTGCAGAGTTTTGATTATTTCTAGGAAAAAGAAAGTAAGAGAGGCCCTTTTTGCATCCTACAAATTGTATACCAACTCTGACTTCCTGTGTCAATTATAATAACAGGAAATTATAGAGAACAGAGAGTAAATATAGCAGGTCTTGTTCTGAATTCAGCCTAAAAGAGAGGACCCCATAGCAGCCTTTTAGCACAGGGGTTATGGCTGACAGAGAGCTAGAGGCCAACAACATGAGCCGGGTTCCTACCAGCAGCTGGTAAAGCCATCAACATTGTACAAAACCTTAACTGCCTTCATGAGGAAATACTGAAGAGACATGCAACTGTCACACTGATGTTACTGAGCCTCAGGAAATCAAGGAATGACAGAAAAAGTGTTCATTCTCACCTGCACTGTAAAAGTAGACCACAAGAAAAACAAAATGGAAGATGTTTTTTTTCTACCCCGGGCTCATTATATTTACATTTGCCACCAGTAAGGCTGGACTTCCTGTGCTGCATAAATACACAGCAAAATTCTAGGGTTCATCCTCTCCGACCCGAGAAGCTTTGAATGCACCTCTCATTACTGGATCGAATCCGGGATCGAACCTGCAACCTTCTGATTACTGGACAACCTCTACCTCCTAAACTACTGTTGTTCCTGCAAACAGTGTTAAGATTGGTAATTATCCCAGTGTGCCACATTTTAAAACAACAGTCGTTGTCATTAAAAACACTTCTTCTACATATATTTTACATTAAAATTACAAGTTACCTTTATATTCAGTCCTCAAGATAACATTTGTCTTTAACCTTTATTTCTTTTGGATTAAAGCTTAATCACATTAGAAAAATCATTGACGTTCTAGAGGCTGCAGATAGTGGCATTTGCAGTTCATTAGTCTCTTGGCTTCACTAAACCTCAAAGGTAAATCTGAACAAGTGTTTCGCTCTGCTCATTCTCAGGTCTGTTAATGGTTCTGCCAGTTAACAAATGAGCTGGCTTCCAGCACAAAAAGGTCTGCTGATGTTTATAGGGCACAAAAAGAAGTAGTATACGAAGTAAATGCCCCGAAAGAAACTTGTTTGCACCATTGGGCCTCTTTATCCAATTCTGTGCACTGAATATCTTTGTAAATATTTCAATTCCTTACAATGCTGAAGTAAAAAGAAGAAAGTTTGACTTGTGGAGATCCATTTATGATCGCTGGACCTGATTTAAATCAGTAAATGGTTTAAATGGAACATTCGTATCAACAGTTTCGTCCAAAAAACTGCACATAAAAAGAACTGCCCTGATGGAAGTCAAAGAAAATCCTGGAAAGAGAAACATCTAGATCTCATGCTGCTTTAGATAAACATGGGGGCAAATGGTGCTCACTGCTGCCTGTATGCTGGGAAAGAAAGACAACTTTATGGAGGTGAACAGAGTTGGGCTTTCAGAAAGGAAACAGACAGTTACAGTTTCACACAGACCATGTCATGCCCTCGCACAGGGTGTTTACACATTCATCTGCACCAAAACTACTGCAAAGTAAGGGAAAAACACACACATAAATCTTCTCAATTGATCCTACCACAGCAAGGCACACAGGGATGGGTGGCAGTCAATAAGAGTTGAGGTGTGAGAGAACTGGAGAGGTTCATCCAAAGGAGAAAAAACCTCAATAAGAAGGGTTTTAGCTGGGCTTCTGGCCACGATGAGCCAGTAGAGGAGCTTAAGCTTGCTTTGGCACAGATTTTAGATATTTGGAGCTACACAAGAGGGATGTTCTCCCAACAGTTTCTCACGCAGAACTTCACCCATTTTAGTAATGGTGGGAGAAATTTCTGGGACACCAGTTCTGGTGAGTTTTGCAACGCTCAACTAGTCGGCATAGAAAGAAAAGTCATGTTGTCTACTTCTTAAAACTTTGACCTCCATCTGTATGTGGTTCTGAACAAGTAAACTATTTTTAATGTGCACACATTTACATAAATACAATCCTCCATCCAAGCTTCCAGACATGTCAAAAGCATAGTTACAGCATGTAAAGACTCTGACAGGGGCTACTTATCCACAATGCCAAATCCTCATTCCTATCTAAGATCGAGACATGCTCAACTCCCATCATCTCTGCTTATCATCAGTAATAGTGCTGAGTTTCAAGTCAAAACAGACTCTCAAGCCAGCAGCCCACAGCAGATTACTGCAAATAAGAAATTAAAGTGAAGAACAGGACAGGCAGTGAGGATGAAAGAGGAGGAGGAGCGGGGACCTTCCCCAGCCAAGAGATTTGCTGTTTTATTAATGCTGATGAACTTCATTCAATCCAATTTTCTGCAGGGCATCACAGCGATGATAAACAAACTCTGATGTCATCTGGAAATGCCACTGCAATAACAGAGTTATACTTTAAAGCAATACTTTTAACGCTAGTGCAGGTTCGTCAGACTGTAAAAATCGTCTTTGTGCTTTAAAGTCAAATCTAATCAAATGGAGACAGAATTCAAGTCAGGAAGGAAACTTCCCAACAAAGGATAAGCTGCAAAACATTCCGACTGCTCAGAATTTATACTAAAAAGAAGCTTTTAATTTATCACATATTTCTCCACACAATTAGAAAAGCAAGTTTCAGTAAAAGACAAAAGAGGACAGTGATTAAACTTTAATCCACGTACCTGTTGTCATTAAGCTGCGTGTATCGAGGCTGAGGATCTGGGTCTCCATCGTTCACATCGTAACTGGCATCTGGGTCCTTAAAAGGACAGAAGAGCAGTTCTCAGCAGCTTCTACATGAAAACCAGTGTTTTAACTCATTCATCTGCAAGACTCACATAGTTTTGCATCAGGTCGGGGTGATTTTTCTCAATTCCATCATCCAAGATGGACACCACTACACCTTTCCCTGTGTAGCCCAACCCCCATGCTACCTTTGCATTCAGGTCACGGTGGTTGGTGTTGTACTGTGGATAAAGGATGCAAATAAATTAGGCTGAATTAGTCAGAGGAGATATATTTTTGTGTTGACAAGAAGGATTTGTAAATATATCCCTGAGTCTTTCATCATAAGGCTTGATGAAAACAAAATTTGTATCAAAAGGTGGCTGGAGAAAGGGATTGCTGTTCATATTCATAAAGAGAAGAAATTTCACTGAAAGACTGTGTTAATCAGCACACCTATTTTAAGCATAAAAGTGCCACACTTGCCCCAATTACACTTTTAATAACTATCAAGTAAAGGAAATTAACACAGAAGTGGATGATGGCACACAGCAATCATTCTGCCTGCTATTTGATGGGCTTTTGACATTTAACTTGACCTTTTATCAGAAGTCATGTCTGGCTTTCTAATAGTTCAAAGCTGCTCTTTTCAAAGTTTACCATTAAAACGTAATGTCTCTGATGTGTCATTCAGAGCGTTTCCCGCTTAGATTCCGGCACTCACGTTGTGTAAGTTTAGTGGATCAGACAGAATTAAGCTTTCTCTTCAACCTTGGAACATCCTTGACACTTAAACCACTGAGAGAGAAATCAATTAAAACTGAGAGTTGTGATTTGCAATGCAGAGTAAGACTGAAAAGGGCCTTTTGTGGCTGACATGTTTCATTTTGAATACTGCCGATCAACCCAGTGCTTCTCCTTTTCTCTTTCAGCACAACGGCTTCTTCTCCACTTTAAGATGTGATTTATCAGTGTCACAATTTCTGTCTCATTAAAACTAATTTAGGAAATGTGATACATATTCACTGGGACATCAAATGCTGAGTATTAGCATACATCCATAAATGACACCTTGCCAGCAGAACCCACCTACATTCTCCTCTGGTCGGCCAGGTTCTTTTTTAATGAGACACAAGTTTACACGGCACGCTAAAAGAGGAGCAGCAGCACTTTTGAGGAGACCCGACAACCTTTTCTGCATGCTTGTGCATTTAATTGGGTGTAAATATTTGGAGAGCTTCTAAACAGCTACACCTCAAGTATACAGTGGAATAAAACAACAACAACTCAAATCCTGAGGCAAATTAGGATTTTGTATTAGTAGTTAATCACAAATATTTCTCTAAACTTTGTGCAATTGTTTAAAGTCTATAGCCAAGTTTATGCTTTTCCAAAAGTGGTGGAGCTGAGACATGCACATGTACAAACACAAACATTTTCTTGTTCTCCATTGCCTAAAGAGTCCTTCAGAGCAATTCGCCGCCAAACCCTTGATATAGCACCTTCAAGGGTTCCACAACCTTGACAGAAGCAAGACTGCCAAGCACAGGTGCCACTGGTTCCTCCTACCATCAGCAGCAGGCGGAGAGGATGAAGTGTCTTGCCCAAGGACACGACGATCTCCCCTTTAACAGACTAATTTGTCCCGACTCTCCTCCACCTCATCACGTGGCCACCTTCAAACCCACGTTTCCCACAATTTCCTTCCAAAAATTTTAAGTATTCTGCACATTTATGAACTCCTTCAGTGGAGGGTTGTACAAGTATTCATATAGTCAGACTTCTGCTCCACGTCTGCTGCTAGGTACTTTCAACACTCTTTATTTCTTGGAAATAGGGGTGTTAACAATTTTAAAGGAAGTGGTCTGCTGACTAGGCTTGCACATACCATGATGGACATTTTAAAAACTTGGCACCGTTTGCAGGCCTGCCACAGAGGGCTTGCATTGACAGATGATGGTGTAGTATCTCTGCACCTCCGCTGACAGAGAAGTATAAACTAGGCTTTAGTATCTGACATTGTAAACCTTCTAGTGGAAATAATGATTATCAGACTTTGCAAATTAAGAATTTATCATAATTCATCAGCCAGGTGCATAAACATATAAACGGTTTTTGTTTTCTACACTTTGAAGTTCAGTAAGAGAGTGAAGATGATAATTTACTTAACAGAAGTGAAGCTGACCTTTTGACTTCAATACAAACAGCAGAAGATTTAAATAAATGTGTAGAGTTTCTTGCCTGTGCCACTAATAGAGAAATTACCAAATTTGGTGAACAGCAAAAATCATTAATTTGACTACTTTTCTCCAAAATTAAACCCATATATCACAGAAAGCACCATTATTTGTTGCAGATGTTACACAATCAAAAACTGTGGTTGGAATGGAAGTCAATGGGACGTTTTTGTCCACTAAGGTCACAAGAGGATGGTAACTTTTAAATCTGTTGCTACACAAAAACTATTGATGGAAAATGTTAATATTTTAGATATTTCATAACATAACCAACAGTGATTTACAATAAATGTCCCAGGAATAAAAAGGAATTTCTTTGGGTGGAAAATAGAGAAAAAATAGAATGTGTGTTTTCATTTTTTTTTAATTACAGCAATGAATTTGAGTAATCAAACTGGCATTTGAAGGGTTAAAATCCTCAAAGTGACTGAAGTTTTATATGTTTAGGCAGGGCTGACGTTGTTCAACAGATCTATGGAAAAGAAAAAAAATATATATATAACTGCATTCATTTTTTTATAGCCACTTTTATGGGAGGGTGTTTTTGTTCTCTAAGGTCACAAGAGAGTAGTGTGTTTTTTTTTTTTTTTTCCTTTTTCATAGTGTTCCTTTGGTCTATTTTCGAAATCCCAAATTGAATTTCTAAATTTTTCCAGAGAGAGGTTTTGGGACAACATTTTGTACCATGTGTACAAACAATGCTAAAATGGCATCCAAAAGAAAAGCAGAAAAACTGCCCAAATGGCCAAAAATGTCCCTAATGACGCCTGTGGGTTAATTAAATTAGCTTTTTAAATATTTACATTATTCTAAGATCTGTAATGTCATGTAAGATCGAAGCAGTTCAACGTCTAGTCAAATTTATGACAAGTAGAAGCACTACAAGAGTCAGTGGCCATTTTTTTTCCTTTTCTTGTTACGGTCTCGCCCACACTGTTTCACCTGACATGAAGAAAGTATTGACAACAGCAGTTATTTTAAAGAACAGGTGACGTAAGTCTGTTTTGCAATGTCATGAATCATTTTCTGCCTGGAGCTACTTCGCAATAATTGAAGAGAGGAACTGAGTCTTGGGAGTTGTTGGTGTTGCTTTTAACAGGCCAGTGTATCAGTGGCATTCCTCAAGTCAAATGTGAAAATCAATCCAATAAAAACGGGTCTACTTCGAGATAAATTACCTCCGTCTCGCTCTGCCTTTTCCCTTCGCTGCTGTGCTGTTTATAGACTACAGTAAACCTCACTTTCTCAGAACACACCTTTCAGAATTCAAATACATTCTTTATGTACCCAAGTTTGTTGATTAAGTCAATGACACATCTTTTGCTTCCTGTCCTGCAAACAAGACAGTCAACAAGATTCCACACCAAAAATCATACAGCGAATACAAGATACGCCTTTCGACTCTGTTTAAAATATTTTACACCCTGTACTGATTTTCAGCAGATTCAGGTGAGCTGCAGTGCTATATTGTGTCTTGGTCCCACACACACTTTTGTTGGGGTAGGTTTTCTTGTGCAGTGTAAATACCCACCAGGTACCACTGGTCTTTATATTTGGGATCTATAAACTCGACAACAGTATCTCTCTTTTTCCTCCGTCTTGACACCTGTTGCTCTGCCCAAGACACCTAAACAAAGAAAACACAAACATACAAGAAGTTCAGTAAAGTAAAATGATTAATTTGCTTATAAAAAGAAGACACAAAATAACCATGCACTACCCATGAGTGTCAGCATGTCAAATGAATTAACAGAGATCCTAATTCTCAGTGGGCTGACAGCTGACAGAGTGAGATTAGAGGCACAGGGGCATGGCGGACTTCTAACTAATGAGACTGGCTGCTGAATTCCAGAGCAGGTCCGGACTTATTAACATTTTTGGTTGGTGTACAATGTAATTCATGAGAAAATGTTGTATTTATTATGAGTATACCTGGACATGCATGCAAAATGCGGACAAAAAATGTCCAAATTATACAACCGTTGGTAGCAAGCTTTCAGAATGTGGGAACATTTGCAGAAATTGTTGACAGAGCTGGAAAGCAAACAGTGAAAATAACTCTGAAATTACTCCCTCTGTTGCATTGTGCTCACGGTACAGCAAAGCACCTGGGAAGACGACTCACACGGAAAAAAAAATTTGGAGAGGGAAGATGGAAAACTGCCTGCTGCAAGGACGGAGCACCTGAAGTGAAGGGCAACTGAATTACAGCACATCTCTCGCTCTCCCCACAGATCACAAGAGACTCAGCAAAAAAAGAGGAGAGACGTCATGAAGGTCACATTAACTGCTACACTGAAGCAGAGCCAGTTCAACATCCACAAAACACAACCAACCAAAAGATAAGGAATTCACATCAAAGGTTGGAGAGGTTTATGTTCAACTTCAATCACTTGAAGTCACAATGAAGTCAGGTTGTATGGAGTGCTGCCGAGGCTGCTTACGCACAAAACTGAGCAATTATTTTCACACAGAACACGTGTTTTTAGAGAACAAATCTGAAAATGTCCCAAACACGTCATTAAGTCAAAACTTTTGCAGACAAAGTCAACTGCTCTACATTTCCAGCAGGCTTCTGTTAAAGGTGTCAGTGCTACATTCACATTTTCACCAGCAGATAACACTTGCATGTACACTGCGGTTACGTTGAAAGGAAACAAGTTGACCTCAAAAGATCAACGCAGATATGAAAAAAACTCGCATCTTTGTGAATCCAACACCTTGAAGGCTTTGATCACATATCTTAAACTCCTAAATGAAAACAAGCTCATCAAATGTGTGATTATTTTTTAGGCTATAGACTTTATTGGAAATGGAAAAAAATAAATATCCAATATAACGTGATAAGTGCTGCCACTGAACTGTCATGATTTGCTGTCAACAGGATGCAGCCTTCTTGCAAACAGCCTGAAATGTAAGAAGTCACAGCATTTCTCCAGAATCATTTTATTTCCAGTAAACCTTTCTTTTGCGTCATTCGGTTGAGTTTGAGATTTCCCCCGTTCCTATTTCCTGATTGGTTTTACAGTCACATTCGAAACTTTGGTTCTTTTTCTAACTTCGTTCGGCGTTTCACTATGGGAATCGCCCTGGCGTGACCAACTACGGAAGCTCCAATGACATCACATCTGTCCTTGACAGACTGGTTGCGCCGTGCCAAGGCTCCGCCCACCCAGTATATACACGGCCAACAAACCCCTCCTACTCATTCTCGCTTTCTTCCCATGAGAAACTACAATTTGCTCCCTCAGCGATTTTCAGGCTATCTTTGGTTAGCTGCTTAACTGTTCCCAGGCGTGCCGTCAGGATACATCGCCGAACGCAGTACCAACACGTAGAGCCCTGCACGGGCCTAAAATCTGAGCTTGTGTCAGGCCTGGCCCAAGGGGGGGGGGGGGGGGGGGGGGGGGGGGGGGGGGGGGCCAGCCCGACCCGGTCCGAAAAGGTTTTCAGGATTCTCTGGCCCGACCCGAGCCAGACTTTTTTTTAACCAACTAAATGAAAACAAAGTGTGTCAATCCTGACCAATGTGTTAAAAGGCATGCAGGATCTGATCAATTTGTTTTTCCCTCGTTTACCGTCACAGAGATAACGGCGCACTGGCTCTGGTGTTAATCAAGTTAAATTTGATCTCTTTCCAACAATTTTCACAAGAAAACAAAACAGTCAAAAGCAGGGCTTGTGTTGAATGGATAGTTCCCGTATTTGACCGTTTATTTTGACAGAGAAAGAATTGAAAGTTTTACCCCGACGCACGCAGACGAATTGACATTTTATTCGTTACGCACAGCACAGGGATCGGGATGAGTATTATGGAGTCGGCAACTGATGTTGAAAAGAAGCTGAAACAAGGCCTTTATGACACAAAAACCAAAGCAAGGCAAGTCAGACATTTGGAGGAGTTTCTCCGATCAGGTCTCTTAGAAAAGCAACCTCGATCACTGCCTGATTACAGAGGAGAATAGAATATGAAACGGCCTTGATTTCATTACCCCTTTAAGCACCACATATTAGCTCCTTTATGTATTTTTAAGAATTTTATAGTTTAAGTAGCGAGGAGTTATTTGAAATCACATGCGCCGATGCGTCACCGTGATCCTGGTGACGCATCGGCGTTAAAGGGTTAAAAACTAAATGAAAACAAAGTGTGTCAATCCTGACCAATGTGTTAAAAGACGTACAGGATCCGATCAATTTGTTTTTCCCTCATTTACAGTCACGGAAAAACAGTTAAAAGCAGGGCTTGTGTTTGTGTGGACCGGATAGTTCCCATATTTGACCGTTGACCTATATTTTGAGGATAAAGAATAGAAAGAATTACCCCGACGCATGCAGACGAACTGACATTTTATTCGTTACACATATCGCATGGGTATAGCTAAATCACCCAAGAAAAGATTCCCATCTGAACATCTGAGCTGGACAGTGCAGCTCGCTGTCAGCACATATGTGCACAGCGAGCTGAAGTTGTGGAGATTGGCTTGGAGTGCGTCGCAGAACCAGAGCGCATGCGGGAAGGTTCCTCCTACTGAAGCGAGTGTTTTCCAAACCCTGTCGCTCAGAGAGACTTGTCACTTAGAAAATGATCCCGGATTATGAAACTTTGGCTGAATAGTGCTTGTTCCTGTCTCCAATGTGGCGACGAATCCATGAGCCTGTCTGAGGAGAAGCCCAGAATCTCGTCAGCTCAGAAAGCGCATATGATTACGCACAAGCGTGACACGTCAACCCGGTCTCACAGTAAGACTGGGTTGGAACTGTTCAGGTTTACGCAAACAATCTTCACATAGAATTGACTTACAGATATAAAATTAATTCAGTAAAATATATCCATTCATTATTTTACAAGCACAGAGAACCGCATCAGATGGATGGAAGAGCCGCGGGTTGCCGACCCCTGGTATAGCCTATAAAATGACATGTTTTCTCCAGGACCAGAGAGGACGCAAACTCAATACATCTCTTTTATTGTTAGGTAATAATTTCTCCAAGTTTTGCGGTTGCGGGCGGGAGTAGACATGCACGCTACGGGTGCGGGCGGGAGTGTAACACACACGTTGCCGTTGCGGGCGGTAATCGTCAGTAATTCAGGGGGAGCGGGCAGGAGCGGGATGAAGAAAACAGTCCCGCGGAGGGCACTACTGCTGCATTTGTGTTTCAGTTTTTTTATGAATTCGATTAAAAATAAAGGCGCCCGGCCTGGCCCGTGTCCAAGGTAACTACACAGTCGTTGGCCTGAAACCCGGCCCGATAGCCGTCGGGCCGGGCCGACCCGAGGGCCTAGGGCTTCAGTGCAGGGCTCTACCAACACAGTCTGGATTTGAGCTGAGTAAGTGCTTCTAGTCACTTGTCACACTTCACTAGGAACAGTCAACGCGTCACGGCGAACTGCTCCTACTGCTACTCGGTTGTCATTGACGGAGTAGTATTAGCGAGTGTGGCTCAAGCTAACGCGTTGAGGCAAGCTTGTCCTGTGCTTATTTAGCATTTATTTGCTAATGAGCTACTTTGGTGCAGCTAACGTGTCACGACGAGTTGCCCTACATATGTAATATAGCTTTAGTTGCAGACTTACACCTGCTACCTAGCTTGCTACGCTTTTTCAGACTAACGTGTCACGACGAGTCAGATTGTCAGCTATGGCTTCCACCCCTGCCCCGACGGACGGGTCGGAACCGAAGGCTAAAGAGGCTGCATCCCGCCTGTGCCCGGCGTCATGTGGGGCTTCCATTTCAGGCAGGGACCCTCATCCTATGTGCATAGCTTGAATGGGTGCTGCTCACGCCCAGGCATCGCTGGCTAACCCGCAGACATGCCCTCACTGCTCCTCCATGCCGGAGAAGATAAAGAAAAGGAGGCTAAGAGTGGCAGTGGCTAACGGCCGGGAACCAGGCCTCGGCTTGGGCACGCCTGTTGATACAGGTGACAACCATCAGCCACAAGCCTCCACTAGCTGGGCGGACATGATGGAAGAGGAGCCCCCGCTACCTCCTCTGTTCGAGGGGCTGGTGGAAGGCGGGCTGCTTGATGCGGGTGATGACGAGGCTGGAGGTGATGCGAACTCAGACCTCCTCGACTTGGACAAGGAAGAGGAGGAAGAGGATTCCACCTTCCCAGCTCAACGCTCTAGGCTGTCTAGCGGCACTGGGGTGGCATCGGAGGGGGACGCCGATCTGTACGAGGTTTGCCGACGAGCGGCGGCAAAGCTCAACATTCAGTGGCCTGCAGCCCAAGAGGCAGAAGGGGTGGAACGAGACCTGTATGGGGCTTCTTATGATGAGAGATGTTCAGTGGTGGGTGAGATCGTTAAGACTGTGCTCCCGCCGTCATCTCCACCGCAGAGTGAAGATAACTCCGGCGTGCATGTCGGCTCTCCAGCCTTGGAGAGACCGAAAAGTTCTCAGTTCCGCTGGGGGTGGTGGTGTCCAGAGTTACCATGACGACGGACGAGTCCCTTACAGGTTGGGGGGCCACCTTGATGGGGAGAGCAGTGAACGGCATTTGGTCACGCAGTTTGAAATGGGTTCACATAAATGTGCTGGAACTCCTAGCGGTGTATCTTGCTTTAAAGCACTTCCTGCCCCACTTAAGGGACCGTCATGTCTTAGTGAAGACGGACAACACCAC